GATATTTTTAGAACTGCAGAAGTAGAAGCACTCTGATCTTTTCCTGAAGAATTGCCACATGACTTAGCAGCCTCCTTCCACCTGAGATGGGGAAGCTTGGAAAGTGAGGGGGCCTTCTTCAGTGCGTGCCAAGGTCACTGTAGGGGTTTTTCCTCACCCCCCTAGTTTGTGGCTGAACCGAACCCCTGACACAAAAGACAGATTAACAAGAGAAAAACCAGTGGAAGTTTATTCACATGTATATTTCACATCTGCATGGGAGACACGCAGGAATTGAGTAGTTCTCAGAGAGGTAGCTTTGAATTCCAGCTTGCACAGCACCTTCAACAAACAAAAGCCAAGTTTTAAAGAAGTGACAGACAAAGGAAAAGGACTTTGAGTGTCTAAGGCGGGGAACTTGTAGAAAGGTAAGTAACTGGCGGATAAACAGAGTTAGTAAAGCACCTTCATGTCGATTCCTCTGATTCCAGCTCCAGGCCCATGACAGTCTAAAGCTGTCTTCAGTGGTTAACTTGTTTTCCCTGTAGAGAGAGGGAGCGGACACCTTTTATCCTTCTAAATTATATCCTGCATTTAGGCAAGTGGAGGGCAGAGAGCTTTCTTCCATTTAGCTTTTCACTGCCTTCAGCTCAACAACCCCTCATAGTGCCTCCCACACTGCGTTCTCTTGGTCCCCTCCAGCTAGGAAGGGTGAAAGGACGGGGAGTGTGTATAGCACGTATTTGTGACTGCTGCCAGCGAATCTGCCCCCCATTAGGGTCCGTGAGGGATGTGCTTTCTGCTTCCCCCCCAAGCTGCAACCCCCTGGAAATGAGCTGCATGAGTCAGGAGGCAGGAGGTAACAGTGATGATAGTTAAGGGAAGTTTCATTATTCCGTCTCTCCTGCTTGATCCCCAGTCTTCTCCGGCTTTTCCACAATCATCCACTCAGAAATTATCAACAAGCGCTTGGTTTTATTTTGTAGTAGGTACTAAACCAGAGATAGTTCCACAGTTAAATGAGAGTTAAAAGTTTCCTCAACACCCTCTCACATTGTGGAAAAACTGCATGGACCACCTCTGCCTGACTCATGATGAGGCCCAGCACCTGGCACAGTGGCAGATGGTGGGCACTGATTAAATATTTGCTGGATGTATGAGCAAGTCCTGTGGGGAGAACTGGAACCGTATGTCTGCAAGCAGTGGGTGCAGTTTTCTGTCTTCCAGATACAGGGGTGCTTCTAAACAATACTTGGGTGTCTTCACGGAGGATTTCTGGAGACACTGTTCTCCTCACCCCCTGGCATGCCAGCCTACTTTGCATCTAATCCGATAATGAGAGCCAGGCACTGTTGGAGGGAAACTGGATCTTCCCAGGGCGCCCTATCAGTATCTGTTGTCCGTGGGCCCCTTTCTGTCCAGCCCTTTCTCCAGCTGGCTTGTCGAAAGCTGAGACCGTCTCCACTGGGCCAGGACACTGGGCCATTTGGCTGGTTGCTGGGCCATCCTCTAAGACATTTCGAAGGGTGAAGTCCCGAATGCCAAGGCCTTAAGTTTCCAGCTGGCATGAAGGCTCAGGAATCCCTCCACAGCTCCTTTGCCACTCATTTTCTTCCTGTAGCGCTAAGGCACAGTCATACTGTTTCCTCTAGCTATGCCTAAAGAGGAAGTTACGGCAGGTGGTTAACTCCTGATGGAAGAAGAGACATTTCTTCTACTGGAGGCTGGGGAATGAGGGAGGTTAGGGCCTTGTTTAAATGAAGAATCTTTCTGCTGTGAAAGATAGATTATAGATGAGAAGAAGATACTTTGTGAGTCTATGAGGGAATTCTCCTTTCAAGGTTCTTGCAGGAAGGTAGGAATCAAGTCGAGTTGTAGAAATGGAGAAGCATTAGATGTCCAAACTCATTCATTAACCCCAGGGGACCCCATGGCCCCTCTGTGCCCGGGCCAGCATACATGCAACTTTGGTGGTTAACAGTGAGGGCAGAGGGGCACTACTGGGTTCAGATCAGCCACTCTCCAGCTGAGTGGACTTGGGTAAGTTCTTGAACATTTCAGAGGCTCAGTCGTTTCACTTGTAAAACAAGGACCAGAAGAATATTGCATAGGGTTATTGAGTGGATTAATGAGATATGTATGTGAAGAGTTTATCACCAAGCCTGACACAAAGTAACGCCTCCCTAAATGTTAACTATTATTACTAAGTAGGTGATAACTGGAGCGGCTTCTTATCGCACCGTTGGTAGAAAAAAATCATTCTTCCACAACGAGTAAACTTGGCCTATATTCTATGATATGCTATGACCATATTTTCAGAACCCACAAACTATATGATATGACCAAGTTTTTTTTCATATTTGTGAATTTTGTTTTATAAAGTATAAGAGTTGGGACAGGCGTGGTGGCTCACATCTGCAATCCCAGCACTTTGGGAGGCCGAGGCGGGTCAATCACCTGAGGTCAGGAGTTCGAGACTAGCCTGGCCAACATGGTGAAACCCTGGCTCAACTAAAAATACAAAAATTAGGCAGGCATAGTGGTGTGTGTCTGTAATCCCAGCTATTCAGGAGGCTGAGACAGGAGAATCCCTTGAACCTGGGAGGCGGAGGTTGCAGTGAGCTGACATCAGACCATTCATTGCACTCCAGCCTGGGTGACAGAGCAAGACACTGCCTCAAAAAAAAAATTATAAAAGTTAAGTAGTGAATGTATAAATTAGTCAGCTTGACTGGGATAGGTAAAAGAAGACCTGAATAAACAGAGTGAAGAAACATGAATCTTAAAGACAATCAGGTTTTTAAAATATTGACAAAAAATTCTAAAGTTCATTTTGTCACAAAACTGAAGTGGGGTCTACTTGCCCAGTGCAGTAAGAGGAAACTCCAACACTGAGATTTTGCAACTGGAGAAAAGAGCACATTTATTTGCAGGGCACCAAGCCAGGAGAATGGGGCAGCTCATAATTAAGACCTGACCCCCTCAATGGCTTATGAGCAAGAATTTTTAAAGGCAGGGGTAAATTTCAGGAAAGGAGAAGTTATGGGCAAAATCATGAATTGATACATGGAGGTGATGTACTTGTCTGGCCTCAAAAGTGTGGGATAAAGGAGGAGACCTAAAGGTTATGTGGGCCGGGCGCGGTGCCTCATGCCTGTAATCCCAGCACTTTGGGAGGCTGAGGCTGGCGGATCATGAGGTCAAGAGATCGAGACCATCCTGGCCAACATGGTGAAACTCCATCTCTACTAAAAAAAAAAAATACAAAAATTATCTGGGTATGGTGGCACGTGCCTGTAGTCCCAGCTACTCGAGAGGCTGAGGCAGAACTGCTTGAACCTGGGAGGCGGAGGTTGCAGTGAGCCGAGAATGCGCCATTGCACTCCAGCCTGGCACCTGGCAACAGAGTGAGACTCTGTCTCAAAAAAAAAAAAAAAAAAAAAAGTCATATGAATTCAAACACTCTGATTTATGATAAGTTAAGGAAACGAAGCTTTGTCTAAAACCTTGGGGTCAGCAGAAACGAATGTTCAGGTCTGGCCCAACTTCCATCAGGATCCTCATGAAGAAATTTAGAACAAAGAACAGCAGAGTTCAGTCCTCAACTCCCCCTTCTCTGAGGTCTACAGGCCAGGGGATCCATTTGGTAGGGGACCAGGTTTCTGAAGAGCAACTTTTCAGGGACATATATGGTGGCGCGTGCCTGTAGACCCTGCTACTCGGGAGGTTGAGGCAGGAGAATTGCTTGAACCTGGGAGGCGAAGGTTGCAGTCAGCCAAGATCGCTCCAATGCACTCTAGCCTGGTGCCTGGTGACAGAGTGAGACTCTGTCTCAAAAAAAAAAAAAAACTATAAAAACTAAAGATTACTTCTTTAGTTTTTTTAGGGAACCAAACATTTTGTGACACTAACTTCCTTGTTTTAAGCTATGGTTACCTTCTTGTTTATTATGCTGCTAGCTGGGTGCCTGGAATTTCCCTTGAGGGAATTCAAGATTTTCCTTTATTTCCATGCTTGCCCCCTCCCCACTTCCTGCAGGCCTCTGAGAGGGACAGCTGTTCCACATCCATTTGGAAGAATAAATGAAGTGATTCTAGCTAAGAAGTTACGAGATGAACAAAAAAACCCAGAGTCTGTGTGTAGGGGAAGTACTTACACTACCAGCTACCAAAATTTATTTCCTGTGACAAAACTACAAACATTAAATGTAGTTTTAGGTTGGGGGTGGCCTCTCTAAACGTAACTCTACAGGCAGAAACTGTAAAGGAAGACTGGTCAGTTTTGGCACATTAAAACAAAACATTCTCATGCTCGCTTCGGCAGCCCATATGCTAAAACAAAACTATCTCACACCTACAATTGAAAAGGTGGTCTGGACGCAGTGGCTCACATCTGCAATCCCAACACTTTGGGAGGCTGAGGCGGGAGGATCAGTGGAGCCCAGGAATTTGAGACCAGCCTGGGCAACACAGTGAGACACCATCTCTCCGAAAGAAAAAAATAAAATAATTAGCTGGATGTGGTGGTGTGACCTGGTAGTCCCAGTCACTCGGAGGCTGAGGTGGGGAGGATTGCTCAAGCTCAGGACGTCCAGGCTTCCGTGAGCCATGATTGTGCTACTGCACTCCAGCTTGGGCAACGGAGTGAGACTCTATCTCAAAAAACAAAACAAAACAAAACAGTTAACAAGTTAAAGTACAAATGGAGTAAACACGTCTGCAACAAACATGACAAGTCTTTCATACCTGTACTTGATGAGTGCCCCCCAAACAATAAAACCAACTCCCTAACTTTTAAAATGGGCAAACAGAAAAGTGGGCAAATGGACATAAACAAATTAACAGAAGAGAAAATAAAACTGGCAAAAAATAACCATGTGAAAAAATCCAGTGAACTAATACTCTAACAAAGTACAGAAGATGAGAAACAACCATTGTGAACTATATTTTTTAAAAAGTCTGTGATGTCAAGTACATGGAAATGGTCATTTTTCATATACTTGACATCACAGACTGTTGTTGTTTTTTTTAAATGCCATTTAAAAAATGGAAAACTAATAAGTTTTCCTGGAAGATAATTGAGAAAACCTTTAAAAAATATGCTTTGCCTTTGACATATCAGCTTCCCACTTCCAGAATTTTTAAAGCAGGCATGTGCAATGAAAGATGAACCTATAAGGGCACACATAGAATATTTATAAACAGTCTACTTTTATATAGCCACAAAGAATCATGATATAAAAGAATATCTAATAAAATAGAAGAAAATTCACAAGACCGTGTTAAGTGAAGAAGGCAGAATACAATTTTGCAAGGCATTATCCCAATTATGCCAGCCACACTATGCAGAGAGAAACACCGCAGGCAACATACTAATATATTAACTGTAATTGACTCTAGGAGGTAAAACTGAGTTTTATTTTCCTCTATATCCCATTTATGCAACAGATTTTAAAAAGTGTTTTACGGCAATTCAAAAATTGCCTGTGTTGAAAAGCATGAAAGTACATGAAATTGTACTACTCTGGAAACCCAAGGAAGTGTATAGTTTGGAAAGCCAGGGCCACCTGCTAGTGGGTGAGTCATGGGCACGGGCTCGCACCTGCCACACAGACGCCACACAGGCTGCTGCGCGTTTCCAAGCAAATGCCCCACGTGCGCCAACGGCCACCTCGGACGTGGCTCCGCCTGGCCCGTAGCCAGAGGAAGTCCGGCAACTTCTGCTCTTTCTTAATTTCTGGAAAAGAGGGAAGAGAGGCCTTTTCAAAGTTCGCAGGATCGGGCCTTTTCGTGCTCCACTTTGGAATAAATCGGAAGCCAGGGACTTCCAGGAGCGCCGCCGCCGTCCCGGACCTGCAGCGCCCGAGAGCGACCTCACTGCGGCCCGGGTGAGCGGCCTGGGAAAGGCCCCGGGCACGACACTCCGGGAGCTGCTGGCGCCCTCTTTGAAGTCTCCCGACGGGCTCCGAGCCTCTCATAAGCCAACGACTACCGACCAGCCCCGGTGACCAGAGGCCAGCCACGCGGTCGCCCGGGGACGCGCATCCTCCGCAGGGACAAAGGGTCGGGAAACTTGAGCTCTGGCCAGTCCCCAGAGACCCGCGCTGATGGTTGCCATGGCAACTGAGTAGGGCCCTCTGAGGCCGGCCGCCCAGGCGCTGCAGCTGCGAAGGTGACCCGGCCCGCTCTGGAGGGGGGGCCAGCAACCGGGCCCTGGCCGCCCCGCCCCGCCCCGCCACCAGGCCGCGGCCGCGGGAGTCGGCGACTGACCCTCCGCAGCTCCTGTAGTCACGTGGCGCTGGGAACCCGGCGGGGGGAGGTTGGGGACGGGCCTGGCAGTTGTGAACTCGAACCTGCCGCTGTCGCCGCGGCGGGGCGAGGAGCGGGAGCGGGCCGCGGAAGCCGGCCTTCGGGCTCCATGGACGGGCGCCGCGCCCCTGCACAGCCCGCAGCAGAGGTACGGCCCGGGTAGGGGCGCGGGGGTCCCCGCGGGCCCGCGGGGGGCCGCTCCACTGCGGGGCGCGTGACCGTGAGTGTGCGCGACCGTGTGTGAGTGCGCGGTGGGGTGGGGGGACGCTGCTGGATCTGCGGGGGTGGGGGAGCGCACCTGCGCACAGGATCTGCGAGCTGCGCGGTGCGTGGGACCCGAAATGGCTCGCTCGCAGGAGCGGTACCCGCGTGCCCGGGAGCGTGGACGGAGGACACGCACCAGTACAAAAGGGCAGTGTGGGGCTTCTGCTACCCGCGGCCAGCCACGATGCGGAAGGGGGTTCTGACCGAGTCCTGGTCACACCAGCTGGCCCTGCGCAGCCCCATGGGAAATAGGCCTGGAATTCCTGTCGGCAGGAGGGTGGGGGAAGGGGAGCCAGCAGGGATTCCAGAGTTCCTGCCATAGGCCGGCCTTTAGCCGTCAGGGAAAGCCCAGACCCTGGCCACAGAACGGAGAATTCGTTCTGTGACCTTACCAGGGAAGGAAGTGATCCCCAAAGACAGCAGTGTCCTTCCTTGTTGAAGGGGCACGTTCATTTATTAATCCAATGTCCATTAAGGTCACTCTGCCAGGCAGGGTGTGGGGCTTACGCTGGAGCGTGTGGCTTTGTGGGGGGAGGGATTGTGGCTGGTGAGGACACAAAGCTTCCTGCCCTAGAGGAGCTCAGAGCCTCACTCCTGTTTTCTCTCCCCTTCCCACAGGTAAGGCTGGCCTCTCTGCAGTCAGAGGTCTGAGCTCTGCCATGGGGGTAGGGGTGTCTTTATTGCTGCAGTTTTCTCTGACACCTGGGGGCTACCGGAGTGTGGGCCGAAGCAGGCACTGCAGCCGCCGAAGTATCCCCAGGAACATCCCCAGGAGGAGCTGGAGAAAGCCTGATCCCCAGCTCTGCAGTCTCCAGGGTAGAGTCTGGCCTTTGCTGTGCTCGCAAACCACTGCACAACTGGGGTGCACAGGCGTCCCCATTCGGCGGAAGGAAAGGGCCCTTTCTCATATCCTGGGGGGGGTCTTCCCTATGCACCGTCTGACACTGGGGATGAGTGACCTCTGTGTTCCCTGAGAAGAGAGTGGGCTCTAGGGAATTTAGAAGGATGTGTCTGGAGCTGGTGAGCAGGCACAGAAGGGCCTTTAGGAGCCTAACAGCCGCCACAGCCTGCTTTCTGTGGAGGAGGCTTCTGTGCAGGAATCTGGGCTCCCCTGAGCTGTGGAAGAGATGAACATGGGGCAGGACCAGGCAGGGGACTGAGATTACAATCTCTTCTTCCCTCCCGTTCTCTTGCCCCAGTAATCTCTAGCACCCCAAGGGAGGCAGAAGCAGCGATCAGGCCCTGAGGGCAGCAGGCTGTGGGTGTTCCTTGGATTCAGGGAGAGCATTCCTTCCTGCAGTGTCCTAATTTGTGTGGGTTGAAGAGGGCAGGCGGGCAGAGTGTGGGCACAGTCTGGACAGGCAGTGGTCTGGCATTAGACTGCTGGGAGTAGCACCCAGGGCCCCCCTCCTGTTCCCGGAGAAGGACTGTTCTTACTTGTCCTCCAGGCTCCCACTGAGACTGCAGATAGAGACGCTGAAAGTGCCTCACCTGTGGGGCTGTGAATGAAAGGCTCTAGAAACTTTTTTTTTTTTTTCCTGAGATCTTTGCAAACCCAGGTGTTTTAGAGGAAAGAACACTGGCCTGGAGTTAGTATGAGACCTGTTCCCTAGTCTTGGTTCTGCTGCTGGCTTACTGTGTCACCTTGGGCAGGTCTTGTCATCTTTTGATGCCTCACAGTTGCTTCATCTGTGAAACAGGAAGCTCAGTGTCTGCTTGTCCAGCTTCACAGAGTTGCTGTGCAGCTCAGTGTGGCATAGGAAATAGCAGACACAGGGAGAGGACAGCAGGAACGCACTTGGAAAAGCATAAGGCACTGTAGGGAGCAGTGGCAACGTTTTTCTGGTGAGTCCTGTGGCAGGAATGTGTGTGCATTCAGCACTGGAGCATTTACTTTCTGTCCGACATTGGGGTAGCTGCCATGAGGGGGAGTCTAGTCTCAGAGTCTCTCCCTTCTGGAAGTTTCCAGGGCAATAAAGACATAAGACAAATATCCTTGAAATGTTATCTAAAAACCCAAGATTGAAATAATACCTGTCACACAAAGAAGTAGGAGAGTAGTGTAGCTCCATGCCCAGGGCTCTAGGGATTCACAGATGGCAGCTCCTGTCTAGGGCTGAGGTTGGGAGGGGAGGAATGGGGCAGGAACCGGGCAGGGTGAGTTGGTCTCTGGAGTGACTGTGCTTTTCCGCCCTCAGCCGAGGAAGAACCGATGCTGGAACGTCGTTGCAGGGGCCCCCTGGCCATGGGCCTGGCCCAGCCCCGACTCCTTTCTGGCTCCTCCCAGGAGTCACCCCAGACCCTGGAGAAGGAGCCCCGCAGGCTGAGGCAACAAGGCATATCAGTGGCCCAGTCTGGTGCCCAAGCCCTGGGCAGGGCCCATCGCTGTGCCCACTGTCGAAGGCACTTTCCTGGCTGGGTGGCTCTATGGCTTCACGCCCGCCGGTGCCAGGCCCGGCTGCCCTTGCCCTGCCCTGAGTGTGGCCGTCGCTTCCGCCATGCCCCCTTCTTAGCACTGCACCGCCAGGTCCATGCTGCTGCCACCCCAGACCTGGGCTTCGCCTGCCATCTCTGTGGGCAGAGCTTCCGAGGCTGGGTGGCCCTGGTTCTGCATCTGCAGGCCCATTCGGCTGCAAAGCGGCCCATCGCTTGTCCCAAATGCGAGAGACGCTTCTGGCGACGAAAGCAGCTTCGAGCTCATCTGCGGCGGTGCCACCCTCCCGCCCCGGAGGCCCGGCCCTTCATATGTGGCAACTGTGGCCGGAGCTTCGCCCAGTGGGACCAGCTAGTTGCCCACAAGCGGGTGCACGTAGCCGAGGCGCTGGAGGAGGCTGCAGCCAAGGCTCTCGGGCCCCGGCCCAGGGGCCGCCCCGCGGTGACCGCCCCCCGACCCGGTGGAGATGCTGTCGACCGCCCCTTCCAGTGTGCCTGCTGTGGCAAGCGCTTCCGGCACAAGCCCAACTTGATCGCCCACCGCCGCGTGCACACGGGCGAGCGGCCCCACCAGTGCCCCGAGTGCGGGAAGCGCTTCACTAATAAGCCCTACCTGACTTCGCACCGACGCATCCACACCGGCGAGAAGCCCTACCCGTGCAAGGAGTGCGGCCGTCGCTTCCGGCACAAACCCAACCTGCTGTCTCACAGCAAGATTCACAAGCGATCCGAGGTGTCGGCCCAGGCCGCCCCCGGCCCGGGGAGTCCCCAGCGGCCAGCCGGCCCCCAGGAGTGCGCAGCCGAGTCCACCCCGGTGGCGCCGCTGAAACCCGCCCAGGAGGCGCCGCCGGCGGCCCCGCCAGAGCCCGCGCAGGACCGGGCCGAGGCGGCCCCGTCCCTCTACAGCTGTGACGACTGCGGCAGGAGCTTCCGGCTGGAGCGCTTCCTGCGGGCCCACCAGCGGCAGCACACCGGGGAGCGGCCCTTCGCCTGCGCCGAGTGCGGGAAGAACTTCGGCAAGAAGACGCACCTGGTGGCGCACTCGCGCGTGCACTCGGGCGAGCGGCCCTTCGCCTGCGAGGAGTGCGGCCGCCGCTTCTCCCAGGGCAGCCACCTGGCGGCGCACCGGCGCGACCACGCCCCCGACCGGCCCTTCGTGTGCCCCGACTGCGGCAAGGCCTTCCGCCACAAGCCCTACCTGGCGGCGCACCGGCGCATCCACACCGGCGAGAAGCCTTATGTCTGCCCCGACTGTGGCAAAGCCTTCAGCCAGAAGTCCAACCTGGTGTCGCACCGGCGAATCCACACGGGCGAGCGGCCCTACGCCTGCCCCGACTGCGACCGCAGCTTCAGCCAGAAGTCCAACCTCATCACCCACCGCAAAAGCCACATCCGGGACGGCGCCTTCTGCTGTGCCATCTGTGGCCAGACCTTCGACGATGAGGAAAGGCTCCTGGCCCACCAGAAGAAGCACGATGTCTGAGACGGTGGGCGGGGCCGGGAAGGCTGAGAGAGGCCTGGGGTTCCTCGTGGGGGAGTCACAGTGGGCTGGGGATGCCTGCCTCGTGCTGGGTTAGGGTACAATGGGAATCCCAGAGGGGATAGAAGAGGCGAGGAGTGAGCTGGGTGGGCCCTGTTAGCCAGAGAGGTCAATCCTGGTAGCCAGGGAACCCACTTCCAAGTTCAGGGATGCCGGCCTCCATCTGGTGTGTGTGTGCGCTAAGGTTCCTTCCTGACTGCCCAGTGCCCTGGAAAAGTAGCAATAGCATCTGCCCCTTAGAGCCCTCTGGCTAGAGGAGCCCCCAGTGGAAAGGAAGACCCTCCATCCTCTGGTGTTAACGCCTTAATTTCCCTGTCTTTTACTGTAAGTTACTTCAGATCATTTTTGGAAGTAGGCGTGGTACAGTCCTGTATATGAATGCTCTGGGCTACATACCGCTTGGAGAACCTGCTGGCCTTGTTAGACAGCACTTGGGCCTTTGCCAGCAGCAAGAAGTGAAGCCAAGCCACTCTTACCTCTCCCATCCCCTCCCTCCTGCCCCCTGTGTAGGCACTCAGACTTGGAGAGAACCATCTGCTGTTAGCACTTCCATCCTCTTCCTTCCCAAAGAGCAAACCCCCAAGGCATTTCCTCCTTGGTCTGTCTTGCTATATCTGTCGCCCCTCCCAGCGCTGAGAGCCTCCCCTGGCTGTCTGTGGCGCTGTGTCCAGACTCAGGCTCGTGTCTGCACACCCCAGCCCCTCCACTCCTTCCAGAGCTCAGCATGTTGTGGAAAGGACTGCCCCATTGGTGGTGGAGGGTCAGCTGAAGGGAAGTTACCGATGAATTTCCTTTTCACCATTTCTAGCATATGGACACCTGGGCTCTGCCTGAGCACTTAGGTCACAGGGACCTCCCCACCTCCTAAGGCCCTGGATGATTCTAATTGTTAGACATTCTAATTGTTAGAAATCCTTCCTGATAATGAATGAATTTCGCTTTCCTATAATTTCTACCTATTGGGCCTTGTTCTGTTCTCTGGAACTAAACAGAACAACCATTTACCTACCCGCCTTTTCAAACTAGAGAATAAAAAACATTTACCCCTCTTTTCAAACTAGAGAATAAAGATTTGGTTTTAGAACTGGTGGCTGGGGAGTGTTCCTTTTTCCTGGGGAGCTATGACCTGTGAGGAGGAGCAGCATGCTCTCCTCCCTAGAAGGACAGGGGGCTGTGGGTGGGGCTCTGGCCACAGGCCTCATGCCCAGTTTGCTGAGCTCTGGCACCCTGCCTTAGCTCTTCCCTGAGCACACCCAGGCAGTTGGGCTAATTCTCTGGGTGGTGCCCCGAGGCTCTAGAGAACTGTGGTGGGTGGGAGGTGCTCAGCTTGGTACCAAGATTTCTCTTCCTGGCCACTTGACTTCTTAGGTGGTCTGAGGGACACCTAATCATCTGGGCCTTTATGAAACTCCAGCTAGCACTATGAGCTCTTTTGAGGAGTGCTGGGTGTTAAATAGACTTCGGTTATACCTGGACTCTGCTTTCAGTAGCCCTTCAGAGGCTGGACAGATGAAGGAGCCTCTGGGAGGGAAGGCGGTTCCGAGCAGCTAAGACAGCACTCAGCTCCCACACTCCACACCCCAGGGGGTCAGCCTTTGAAGTTGTTGTCAAACCCAATCTGGGTCCACTTGCCCAGTGTTTGCAAAGCCTAATGTCAACAGTGAGATTTGCAGCCAGAGAAAGCAAGGTGTTTTTATAGAGCACGCCAGGTGAGGAGAATGGGCAGCTAAGGCTCAAACTCCCTGATGGCCTATAAGCAAGGGTATTTAAGGCAGGGGTGGGGGTGGGGTGGGGGGGGGGGTGGGGTTGTTTCAAAGTGAGTTAGGGGCTGAGGAATTTCTGGAACTTCCTTATTCATTTTCTGGTTCCAGTCTGTCTGAGGTCTACGTGCTGGCATTGCCCATCTGGTGGGGGTCCTGGCTTCTGAAAAACAAGGACATAGGTCAAGATGTTATCTTTAGTTTCTATGCAGAAGCTAACATTCTGTGACTCTTACTTGAGTGACTGTTGTTTAAGCTATTATTGCTTAGCGGTTATTCACTGATATCCCCAATTGCTGGTTGAGCTAGCTAGGTGCCTAGAATTTCCCTTGCAGGGACTCACATTTTTGTTTATTCTCATGCTTTTCAAGTGGGGGCAGAACCCAGCAGGCTCCTAAGAGGGGTCTCTGCTCCATCTCAGAGTCATATCAGAATTTTCAGGTGCCATTTACTAGGCAGGAAGGGGGTGCTGATTTGATTCTGTCCTCCAGTGCCTCCTGGCTGGCTTCCTACAGGACCCCCAGTCTCTGTGAGCAGTCACTATGTACACGCCCCTGAATTGGTGGTTTCATATAAATTTGAGTGCCTATTTTTACCAGGCATGAATAAGCTCTTTTCTTGCTGCTTAGTAATTTCTGCATATATCTGCAGTATTTAGCACAGAGCACATAGAATAAGCACAATTTGTTTACATGCATGGCACCTGATGAAATTTACCTAAATTATCTCATGTGTCCTTGTGCGGGAGGCACGGTCATGTAACTGGCGATCACCAGAGATAGATTCAAATCCAAACTCCTGAAACCTGTGCTCTTGGCGACTGCTGTGTGCTTAGTAGATGAATGCTGTGTGCTGCTGTTCTTGGTTAAGAAACTATTAGGGCCGGGCGCGGTGGCTCAAGCCTGTAATCCCAGCACTTTGGGAGGCCGAGGCGGGTGGATCACGAGGTCAAGAGATCGAGACCATCCTGGTCAACACGGTGAAACCCCGTCTCTACTAAAAATACAAAAAATTAGCTGGGCATGGTGGCGCGTGCCTGTAATCCCAGCTATTCAGGAGGCTGAGGCAGGAGAATTGCCTGAACCCAGGAGGCGGAGGTTGCGGTGAGCCGAGATCGCGCCATTGCACTCCAGCCTGGGTAACAAGAGGGAAACTCTGTCTCAAAAAAAAAAAAAAAAAAAAAAAAAAAAGAAACTATTAAATGCTGACTGTGTGGGTGGGGCTTAAAGTGTGTAGGATGGAAATAACAGCTTCCAAGCTTCCTTTTGGTTTATGGGGTTATGGGGCCACTTAAAAACCTATGTTATTGATGGCAAATTATCTGTCAAAGCATGGAAGCAGAGGGCGTGGTCTTAAAGCCCCAGTCACATTTTTTCTCTTAGAGGGAACACAGGTTTTCCAGGGAAGGGGAGATGGCCAGGAAAGAGTAGCCGGATGTCTGGGAATGATGGTCAGGGAGCAGGGGCAGGTCCTTGGGTGGGCACCTAGGTTAGTATCAGAGGCACTGGAGGCAAGGATGAGGGTGAGAGCGGATCTGACCAGGGGTCCTTACCTTTTGGAAAATCCTCTTTAAAGGAAATAGTCTAGGGTATGGGGAGAGTGAGGTGTGGGTGTCCTCAGTGTTTCAACTGCCCACTGCTTGTTGAGGGGATGGGAAAGCGGTCCGAAGGACAGAAAGGTCACACGAGTAGCCTTGAGAGGGCTGGTAAAGCAGGAACAGAGTGAACTTGTTCGGGTTCCTTCCCGAGTCTCTTGGTGGGTGGCCCAGTGGTTCTTGGGCCTTTGCTCTGCCTGGTTCATCGCCACAGCAGTCCCTGGGGGGGACTGCCTGGGTTGGAGGGGTCTGCTGGAAGGAGCTGCCCTTCTCTTCTGAAGAATCCAGTTTTTGTTTTCTGTAATTACAAAAGTATTAAATTATCTTTAAAAGTAAACAATTCAGATCTATTTAATGTGAAAGTCCCCCTTCATTCCCCATCCCACCCCCCAAATCCTTTCTGCTTACACTGTGAAGAGTTTGAGTAGTATTCTAACATTTTTTCCTGTGTATTTGAAAACATGCATATGCAGCCTCCCTGCCCCACCTCCCTTTTTGCTTAATGGATAGGATCCCAGAGGTTCTCCATTTTTTCTACCTCGGAAATACCCTTGGTCATGGGATGCCAGTCTGGAGGAAGTCTCCCCTGTAAGGAGGAAACAGGCCCAGAGAGTGGAAGTGATGCCCACTGGTGGGGGTCCTGATTTCTGAAAAACAACTCAAGGACATTTGTCAAGAGGTTACCTTCAGTTTCTGTGAGGAAGCTAACATTGGTGACTCTTATTTGGGGACTATTGTTTAAGCTATTATTACTTTCTTGCTTAGCAGGTCATACATTCACTTCCCTAATTGCTGGTTGCAGGGCTTGCTAGGTGCCTGGAATTTCCCTTGAAGGGACTCAAATGTTTCTTTATTTTCGTGCATTGAATGGGTGACTAAAACAAATAAAGAAGAGAATGAGACTCTAAAGTGTTGATAGCTAGTGATGTGTAGTCTCTTTATAGGGTGTGTATGATTTTGTATTTTACAAATCCTTCTATAGATAATATAACCAAATTAACGGTAACAACTCAGTAAGGTATGCAGGCAACTAGAAAATTATTAACCCTATTTTATAGATGAGTAAGTCAAAGTCCAGAAACAGAAAAGTATCTTTTATAAAGAGTACACATGAAGTCAGTGACAAAATAGAATCTCAGTCCCCGGTTCCTGCTGTGCTACTCAGGCTAAATCGCAGGTGGGCCTGTGGCAAATGTTTAATCAGCTGTTGATGGGAGAAAATAAGGTCCACCTGCCAAACGGCAACGGTTTGTAGAAAGTCCCAGAGGCCCATCTTCTGTCTGTATCTTCCTCATGTCCCAAACGCAGCTTCCAGCAGCTCTGGAGAGGATCCTGCCAGTGGGAGTTGACCCAGCTGCGCCCCCTTGGAGGGAGAAGCGTGAGGCATTTCCTTAACAATCGGGGTGGGTAGTTGAGAAGATACTCCTTCCTGAAGGTCTCTTCTTGGCAGTCTGGACCGGGTTAGCAGCTGGACGGGGATGATTCCGCTCCTGGAAGCCCTACCTAGTAACCCGACCTAGTAACATAACCTCACAGTGGTTCCTCAGCTAGAAAACAAAGCGATTGGGCCGGGCACGGGCCTGTAATCCCAACACTTTGGGAGGCCCGAGGCGGAAGGGTCACTTAAGCTCAAGAGTTTGAGACCAGCCTGACAACACAGCGAGACCCCCGTCTCTACAAATAATTTAAAAAGTTAGCTGGGCAGGAGGATTGCTTGAGCTAGGGGTTCGAGGCTGCACTAAGCCACTGCGGACAGAGCGAGACTCCCCTCCCCGAAACAGAAAACGAAGAGGTCGAGTGTAGCGATTTCTAAGGTCCCTCGCAGTGAACCCTAAAAGTTATCGCATCCCACGGTGGGGCTGTCGCGGCTTGAGGGCAGCCACAGACTCAGCCGGGGTTTCCGTCGGGGCCCTGATGGGTCCGCAGCAGGGAGAAACAGCCCCCGGCGCGCTGTGGCGCTCGGCGAGCTTGCGCTTAGTGCAGGCGTAACAACGGGCGCGCGGGCCTGGCAGGGGTGCCGGGACCCCATCGGCCATCCGGGGCCCTGACTCGCCAGGTCTCCTCCCACCGGCCCTGCGGCCGGCTGCGAGCGCGTACCCCCGGCCCGGGCCTTGCTCGCCCTCGGGGGCGAGGTCAGCCCTCCTCCCTCGGCTATTGGCTCCAGAGAACAAAGGGGCCGCCCCGCGGGCTGCTCCGATAGGGCCGGGCGGGTCATCTGAGCGGCGCAGCCAATGGGGTGACTGGGCGGCCCCAGGGATGGCCAGGCCTGCCAGCCAATCAGACGCTCGTGCCCGCCCCGCCTGCCCCGGGAATGGCCAGGGCCTAGAGCCCGGTGCCCAAGTCGCCCTCGGGGTGGCAGTTCCCGTTAACCTTAGCCACAAAGTCAAAGGTATTTATTTCCCCGTCGCCTCCCTCGGAGTCCCTCTGCATTTTGGGCGGGGAAGGGCGGTGCGAGGGAAGGACCAGCGCCCGGCCCCGCTCCTCCCGTGCTGCCTCCGCCCAGCCCGGGCTGGGGCAGAGGGATGGGACTGGGGTCCTGGGCTGCCCTGAGCCCCGCGCGCCCCCTTCGAGCCCGCGCTACCCCCGAGCCCCGGGTCTCAAGCGTTCCCCCTGCCCCCACACAGTGGAGGGGAAGGGGGCGCGGCCGGGGGTGGGGAGGGCCCCAGGCCAAGGCAGCGAGGTCAGGAGGGAGGCTTGTGAGGACGGAGGGAGGACGCGGTGACAAACAGAGGGTCGCCCGCGCGCGGCCCCTCCTGGGCTGTCCCGTTGTTCCGAGTTCCCTGTCCCTGTCAGCCTCCCTGATAGATCAGCTTCTGGGGGCAGGAACCCCAGTGCTCGCTGCAGAGTGACAGACACATAGTAGGTGCTCAATAAATGTGTGATTAAACGAGCGGGGATAAGGGTTGGGGATGGAGGTGAGTGAGAGGGAAGCACCGCAGAAGTTCGAAGTGCGTGCGTGTAGGGTGTGGTGGAGAACTCTCCAGGAAGATGTGTGTGGGGCCTGTACTGGGTGCAGGGGAGAGAGAAGGAGCCTGTGTTAAGATGCATGTAGTCTTGTTGTTGCAGACTGACAAAATATTGCTGATGATGATGATTCCATGTCGATGGTCCTGGGTGCACAGGTGAAACAGAGAAGAGGCTCCTGACCGAGCCTGGTGTGTCCAAAAAGGCTTCCTGGTCAAAGCGATCCCTGATCTGGGCTGGGAAGGGGAGAGTTGAGCAAGGGTCTTCCAAGATTGGTCACAGGGTGCCAGAACATGGCACCTTCAGGAGCTGTGAGAGGATGGGGCGTGTCAGGGTGCAGTGGGGAGCGATCAGCAGAGCTGACTTCTCAGTTCCCCCTTATCTGAGGTCTGTGTGCCAGCACGTCCATTTGGTGGGGATCTGGGTTTCTGAAAAACAACTCAGGGACGTATGCTGAGATGTTATCTTTAGTTTCTATAGGCAACCACACGTCTCCTATGGTCTAACTTCCTTGCTGTTTTCGCTATGATTGCCTTATCAGGTTGCTCTTTTACTTCTCAGGACCAGCTAGGTGCCTGGAATTTCCCTGGAGAGAACTCAAGATTTTCCTTTATTTTCATGATTCGGAGGGTGTGGCAGGTCCCTGAAGGGGTCCCTGCTCCACCTCATTTTCCTTTCCCAAGGTCCTTTGAAGGCAGCAAGGGATGGAAAAGTGTTTATTAATTAAAATGTGACACCTGATTAAAGATTGTTAGTAGCTGGGTTTGTCCTCGGCCATCAGCTCAGATCTGGGCCCTGACAGGCTCCTGAGTGTTAGACTTCGGGCCGAGGCCAGCTCTCGCCTCTGAAGGTGGGTAAGCAGAGGCTTCAAGGAGGGGGCCATGGGTATGCGGCATGGGAGGTGCGGGTGGACAGTTCCAGCACGGGTGTGCACCTCTGGCCGGTGAAGGAAGTCTTGGAAGGAGGTACCTCAGGATCATGGCTGGGGTGGAATTGGGGACCTTTGGGAGGTTAGGCAAGTGACCTGGCTGGATTCGGATCACGTCTGGGAATGTTGGTGGGGGCAAACTGAAGCCTTGCAACTGGACTGGCTCTTCATCCCCCGAGGTACAGTTCTCATAACCCTGAGTGGGGAGCAGGTGATGGCAATAGCAGTGACCTAAATAGAGTTTGTCTTGCGTTTTGGGATTGTCTCTCAGAGTCCTCTTACATGGTTCTTGTCCCCACCCCTCGATATAACAATTCTATACCACGCGCAAGTGTTATTTCCATTTGCAGGTGGGGTAACTGAGGCCCAGAGAAGGAAAGTGGTTTGCCTGGGATCAAGTGGCTAACCAGAAGCAAACCCAATCCAGTCCCTGTCTGGGGCCTCTCAACAGCTTTTTCCACTGTGGCCTGCTCTTTGGGTGGGACAGTGTCCTGCCCTTACCCCTGCCTCCCCTCCTCTGCCCCCTCCCCAGATTGAGGACTGGGGTGTTTGGGAGACTGAGGTCTGAAGATGGTGGCTAGGAAGAGGGGAAGGGTCAGGGCTGGGAGACAGGTCACAGTAGGGGTGGTCTTGTGCTGAGGGGGATCTGGGAAGTTGGAGAGGAATAGGGTGGGTCATGGGGTCGGAACGGGGCGTTGTGAGAGGGTGCAGGGTGCCTGATGCTGGGTGTAGGGATGGAGGCCTCCAGGTCCGGGAGAGGATGCCCACCTGGTCTGGGCTGGGAGCTCTGGGAGGGGCAGGCAGAACTGCACTGGTAAGTGGAGGCCTCTGCAGACAGTGCCACAACCAAAGCCATGGCAAACCCTACTTCTCCTGCGAGGTGGAGTGTGGAGGCTCCCATGTGGCACTGGGGGCCTCTGAGATTCCCAAGTGGCTGGAAGGAGTGATGGTTTAGGAAGAGTGAGCAGCAGCAGGGCCACTGGCAGAGGCTTATACAGACAATGCCTGGCACATCGGGCTTAGGCTTGCCACCGGTGGTGCTTCCAAACCCGGGGAGCAGGTAGCCGTTCACCTGCGCCATCAGGAACCTGAGCCCAAAGTGCTAGAGAGCCTAGCCAGGGAGTAGCAGTGGGTGAGTGACAGGTGGGCTGGGACTTGGGGCTCCTGATTAAGACACAGGGTCCTGAGGGGAGGGACCAGGAAGGGTGGCCTTGAGAAGGACATCCTTGCCAGCCTCGGGCAGTAGGCTTCTAGGGGGAGACTAGAGCAAGGAGCCAGCCAGGTGTCGGCCCAGGGTCACCCAAAGCTGGCTGAAGAGGAGAGGCCCGCTGCATCCCCTTGGGCCAGAGCGCACAGGCCAGGCCCTGGAGGATCTCAGGCTGCACCAGGCTTGCTGGACACAGGCTCATTTTCTTTCTAGGGCTTTCTGTCTTGCTCTACCTTCTCTCCAGCCAGCTGCAGCTCCTGCTGACCTATGCCACCCCAGTGCAGGTCATCCAACAGTGACTCATGGCCCCCAGCTTCCTGGCTCGATGAGGGTATGCTGCTTCTGTTTCTACCTCTCTGAGTTCTTTCCCTTGGAGCAAGTGGTCCCGATGGGATGGCCATGGGTGTGCAAGGATACTTGTGTCATGGGTGGCTTTGTGTTTCTGTGTTCCTAAGTGTGCTGTGCAGTGATTTGTGCTGACCTGGTTCACAGTGGCACATTTGTGTGCCTGTGGATCTGTAGGTGTGTCTGTGAGTTTAAAAAACTATCTCACATTATTTGTATTTGCATAGACAGTTTTGCAGGTGTTCTCATGTAATTTTGTGTCTTTGAACTTTTGTTTACTTAGCTGTATTTCGATATGATTGTGTCTGGGTGTGTTTGTGTGTGGTTTTAGTGTTTACATCACTTTCTCATGTCCCTATGATCATATATTTAATTTAAAAACATCTACTGCTATTAACTGAAATCAGAGGCAGAGAATACCACTGGCTGGTCCTGAGGGATTTGTTGATAGTGACAGAAGACTGGAGCCTGAGGAGCCACCTCTTGAGTCCTCCATTGTTTCATTCACTCAGTCATTCAATGCACATTACACACCTTCTGCCTGTGAGGGGTGGGCAGGCATGGGAGCAAGTCCCTGCTCCCTGGGGCTAACCCGAATGAGGGGTCTCACAGGGAGACAGAACTAGTTGAGGACATAGCAGTCAGGTGTGGGCCAGGGGAGAGGGCAGGATGGCTCTGGGGACCAGGTGGAGTTAGGAAGGATGAGGCTGTAGAGAAGGGCAGCATGGGCAGGGGGGCATTGGCTGGGCATGGGCCGGGCCTGGGGAGCCCAGTTTCTGCGGAGTTCTCCTACAGAAGAGCAGCTGAGCAGTGCCCAGCAAGTGAGGACCTGCTGGGACCTCAGGGCTGAGAGGTCCTGATGCTGGGCCTTTGGCTGGGGTTTGGGGAGCTGCCCCCACCCCTGAAAGCCTTAGTGCCTGGTGGCAGATCCTGCTTCCGCTCCACTGGCAGCAGGTGATATCGGCAGCAGGTGATATCTGCAGCAGGTGATGTCTGCGGCATGGTCTGCTGCTGACTGCCTGACCTGGGGTGCTGGGTCTTTGATAGCTGTGCTGGGCTGGTGGGAGGTTCCAGGGCGGAGATGGGGAGGACCTCTCCTGACATGGAGAGCAGGACAGGTCCCTGAGGTGCCTCTTTCTGGCTTGTGGCCTTCCTCCTGCCCCAGCTGCTGTCTGGCCTCCCCACCCCCAAGTTTCTGCCACAAGCAAAGCTCCTTTGTTGCCTTCCCCTGCCCTGGCCTCTCCACCTGCTGCTAGCTCAATCCCCTCTTTGTGCGGTTGGTCCGCAGTTGTCATGGCAGCTGGGCACAGGCTGAGGCCTGCCCACGGGGGGCTCTTACTGAACTGCAGCCTGACCCCGTGCGGGGAGGGCCGGGCCAGAGCCAGGCGTGGAAAGGGGACCTCTGTGTGTCCTGTTCCCCTCAGAGCCTGAGGGACTGCGGAGAGGAAAGGTGGTCCAGTAGGGGTCAGGGGCCTTCTTGTACGATGAACGAAGTGGCCTTCCAAGACTCAATGTGGGCACTGGTGGCAGATGGCACATCTGCCCCTTGACGCCTGTCTTCTGGCCAGGGTGCTTTGCTGGGCAGCCCGCTCACTTGGGTGTCTCCAGGTGGCTGAGGACATGTTGGGATGTTGGGTTAGGAGGGGACTGCCATGAGCAGAGCAGAGTGAGAGGCAGAATAGGAGAGAAGCTTAGGGTGGGCCAGGCTGGAATGTGTCACGTGGAGGGCTTTCCTGGATTTTGTCTGTAGGAAACCTGCTGTGCCGTTTCCCAGACATAGCCCACCTGAGCACACCAGTATCGGCAAGTCCCCAAAGACTTGGCTTCCCCTTACTGCTGTCCTCTGTGTCTCCCCCTTGAATTTCTCACTCCTTCCTCTTGGGCCTTCAGGGGTCCTCTTCCTTCCATCTCTGCCTCTGTTCTTACATAAACCACAGGCTGCTTCCCCTCGAGCCCTGGTGTGGCCCGAGACAAGACAGTGGAAGCCCTGCTACTGCGGGGTGGCTGTTAGGTCCTAATACTTCTTGGGAGGCAGGGTGGGTGCAGTAGGACTGTCTTTGATTTGGCTTGGGGGTCTCACATTTTGTAAACCCAGGCCCATCCCTCTGTCCTCCTGGATTTCTGGCCCGGGCTCTGCCCCCCTCAGTCTGAGTTCCCTTCATCAAGGTGGCTTCTCTGTCCGCCAGCCCCTGTGTGCTTTTTTAGGTAGACATTAAGTCCAGTTGGTGAGAGGTTTCCCAAGGTGTGGCATGTAGAAGCTCACAGAGTGGCGCAGAGGGAGGAGGGTGGCGTGGAGGGAGAACCCCCCAGCACCTATCAGAGCCCCACCAGGGCCCCCCTGCACCTCCTTCTCCACTGCTCACATTTTCTCTGCACCACAACCAGGTTAGAGTGTCTGTAAGAAACCATAGTAGGCGTGCTTACAGACCCCTGTTGGGGAAATAGAATTGAAAACAAAATCTCTTGCCAACGCAGAGAAGCTCTTTGCAAAGGTAGAAGAGAAAAAAAGCTTTTAAAAAAACTGAATGTGTGTGAAACCGGAATGCGATGTGTATCACGGGCAATCACCTGAGAGATCAAAGACCAGCATCTCTGCCTGCTAGAGCCAGGCAGGTGTGGCTCACTCAGACATGCTCTCAGGATGAACAGCAACCAGCCTCCAGCAAGAGGACTGGAAAGCAACATTTGTCACACGCAGGTCGTCCTAAATTCACCTGGTAATTGGCGTGACCGTCTGTGTTAGCTAATTGCCTTTACCCACAGGAAAAATAAACTTCTCGTATTTTTATGACAGGAGATAGGTTTGTGATTTGGAGCCAGGTGCCTGCTGGTTAGGCCCCTACCCTCCTGTGGAGACTGGGAAGTAGGGACGGCATCTTCCTTAATGTTTAAATTTCAAAGAAATGGCCCCCAGGACCGTGGGAAAGCCAATTCTGAGTTGTGACCCTGGCAGAGGCTTATTTTGCTGCTTTTTTTTTTTTTTTTTTTTTGAGACAGAGTCTCACTCTGTCCCAGTCTTGGCTGTCTACAACCTCCACCTCCCAGGTTCCAGTGATTATTCTGCCTCAGCCTCCCGAGTAGCTGCAATTACAGGTGTGTGCCACCACGCCTGGCTAATTTTTATATTTTTAGTAGAGACAAGGTTTCCTCATGTTGGCCAGGCTGAACTCCTGACATCAGGTGATCTACCCACTTAGCCTCCCGAAGTGCTGGGATTACCCACCTTGCCTGGCCTTATTTAGCTTTTGAAAACATTTATTTCTACTTGAGGAGCATTTACTGTAAAAATAAAAAAATAAAAGAAGATTTACATACATCTCAAAAAGACAGAGATAGAGCTTATTAATTAGAAGTTTCTAAACAAAATGCTCTGGAAAAGGAGGGTGTTTCTTCTCTTCCCCTCTTTGCACCAGGAAAATGATTTTTTGTGTTTTCTAGATTCATATTCACTCCTTCCCTACCTCTCTTGTGAGGGTCCAGATTCCCAGTCTGTGTGTGTGCTCCCAGTGTCTGTGCTCTGAAGGAGATGTGGGAGAGGGAGCCTGGGTCTCTGCGAGGCTCTCAGTGCCTGGGGTGGGTGTTTCTGCGAGGGTGGCCGAGCCATGGTACCTGGGAGGACGGGCTGACTAAAACCTGGAAGAGCCCCTCCCTTGAGGCAGCAGGAAGCGTGAGCTGTGCACCTCCGTGGGCAGCCACGTTTTTGCTCTGCTAGGGGGTACAGGCGCGTGGGACCACACCCTTGTCCTTAGGAGATGGGCACCCCCAGTGAGGACGAGCTGAATCTTCAGGCTGCAAGCTCCTGGCCAGTCGGGGCAGCATACTCCTGCCACCCATGTTTGTTACTGGCCTTCTGAGTGCCCGGCTCTGCTCTGGGCCCTGGGGATCCGGCGGCAAGCGTGAAGAGCTCCTGGCCTTGCCGTGGTGGGGAACAGACAAGATCATGTCGGGTGGCAAAAATTTTCGAGAGGAAATGGGAGGTGGTTAGGCTAGTGAGCCAGGGGCCGGGCACGGTGGCTCACGCCTGTAATCCCAGCACTTTGGGAGGCCGAGGTGGGTGGATCACAAGGTCAGGGGTTTGAGATCAGCCTGGCCAATACGGTGAAACCCGTCTCTACTAAAAATACAAAAATTAGCTAGGTGTGGTGGCACACGCCTGTAGTCCCAGCTACGTGGGAAGCTGAGGCAGGAGAATCACTTGAACCCAGGAGGTGGAGGTTGCAGTAAGCCAAGATTGTGCCACTGCACTCCAGCCTGGCGACAGAGCAAGATCCCATCTCAAAGAAGAAGAAGAAGTGGTGCCAGGGATGCCCCCTCTGAGAAGGGGACATTTAAGCCAGGAGCTGACAGAAGCAAGGGGGTTAGCCAGTGAGCCAGACGGGGATCTGGGACAAGGGGACAGCCAGGGCAAAGGCCTGGGGCATCCACGTAGCAGTGTGATCAGTCCTGCTCATATTCCAGGCATGTCAGGAAAAGCTCAGAAGACTTGGGCATAAAAACAAAAAAAGATGAATCCTAGTTCAGTGAACTGGGCATGGGCTCTTGTATGGAGACGCTGGCCCCCAAGCTCTCTGGAAGGGTTTGTGCTAGAACATGGATGGGGGATTTGAAAGGGGGGGCGGTGACGGAGGAAACATGTAGGGCCGTTCTGCCCTCCAGGTGCATTCCTGACCGTGGCATCACAGACATGTCTCTAACCTTACCTGAGGCTCCCGCTTCTCAGGTGTGGTGTCCATCACTTGCTGCCCTGTGGATGTTGAGGGTGTAGGGTGTGAGGCTCTGGTGTGGGAGTTAGACCTGGGTTTTTGTCCAGCTCTGCCATTCATCACCTCCATGACATGGGGCACATCAGGGGCCCTCTGTGGCTTCAGTTTCCTCTTTGGTAAAATGGGAATTATGGCTCTCAGCAGGTATGCATACAAAGACCCCTGCCCATTTCCAATGTGGCCATGGATAGCAAAGTTCTTTGGACAAGAGAGTGTTCTCTGGGATGGGAGGAGGGCTGGGGACCCTGAGTTTTGTCCTTGTCCCACAGGCACATTCTCTTCTGCTTTTCTTTCTGACAGATGGCAGGGAAGGGACGCAGCCGGCGCTGATGCTCGGAGGCCTCCAGGGATGGAGAGTGGCCTGGCTGGCGACGGCACAGGTAAGGGAGAAGGGAGGAGGCAGGGCAGCAGGGGTTCCCTCCGCCCAGGCGGTGTGCCTTTACCTTTTCTGAAGCCGGGTGCGAGCCAGTGCCTTCAGCAGTAGCTAGTACATCCCACTGATGCAGAATTTCAGGGTGGGGACCAGGGCTTGAACAGGCATGTCAAAGAATGGAACAGTGACAGAGGCTATGGGAGCTCAAAAACGGCAAAGCCTGGTCCCTTAACTTGTTTGGCAAGGGGACACATGCGCACCCATGCCTTGAGGAAACGGAGGGTTATTTATCTACTGGAATAGGGAGTTTGTGGGGTCATATTAATTAATTAATTCCATTTTTCACATGGAAAACTAGCACTCTAGGTAGAACAGTTGGTTGGAACAAACCCCGTGGCTCATCCATCAGGACACTGTCTTCAGTTCAGTCCACCAACGCTTTCTGGGGTCACTCAAAGTTCAGGGTCCTTATTGGCTAAGCTGCTTAGAGCTGGTTGTGATGAAATACTGGCTGCCTGTGGACAGTTTCCCGGCATGATCATGTGCTCTTGGCTGGAGCCCCTGCCCAGCATCCCTGAGCCTGGGGTGGAGCAGCCCCTGGCGTCCGGGAGCAGCACTTGCAGCCCTTCCTAGTGCGCCTGGCGCATGTGGCATGTGGCCCATGGCCCGGCTGCAGAAGGTCTCTAGGCCCCTCGGTGGAGTTGAGTCCAGAGCACGCCCAGCACCCTTGGGAGTCTGACCTTCAGCACAGTGTGATTCGGGTTTCTTTACCTCCCTCTCCCCTCCCAGGGGAGTTGCCCCATAGACCCCATGACCCCTGCCTCATTGCCGCTGGGGAAGAGCCGCCTCCCCTCTCAGGAAAATCATATCAGCAGACCCAAGACTGAGACAAAAACCAGGCAGCGGGGTGAAAGAGAAGCGTGGCCAGTGCAAAGCATGGCGTGTGGTGTGTGGACACATACCATCAGGGAGCCTAGTCGTGTAGCTGCACCCCCGTCCAAGGAGCCAGGGGGGTGGCAGAAGCACTCTAGCTGCATGTGTGTTTTGGAAATTCCAGTGGAACCTAGAGCGCACGTGCGCAGCATGTTACAGACGCCCTTTCCCCAGATAGACTCATACCTAGGATCCCGAGTTACTGTGAGGTAGCTCTGGTTGATGTCAGCTGTGGGGTCGGCTGGGGCCCTCTCTCCTCCCTGTGGCAGCTTCTGGGGAACCCTGTGGTTTTAGGGAAGAGTGTGAAAAACTCTTCAGCCGAGACTCCTGGAGACATGGAGGCACATGGGACTGGCCTCTGGCTAGACTAAGGGAACCACTCATCTGGAGGTCCCCATTTTTCAGACAATTGACAGCTTACCTCTTTTAAGCAACTTTTAATTTGTGTTTTTTTTATTGTGGCAAAATATACATAACAGAACATTTACCATTGTAACCATTTTTAAGTGTATGATTCAGTGGCCTCAGTACATTCACAGTGTTGTATAGCCATCACCGCCATCTATTTCCAGAACATTTTCATCACCTGGGAAACTGCACTCATTAAGCAATAATCTGTATTTTGCACCTTTTAATTTTATCTGAACGATTAAAACCTAAAACATGATCCTTTTCATGATGACTGGGGAGTGGAGCCATTATTTCAGGACTCTCCATGGGTGGCCAGTGGCCTGCGCTTCTCCTATGGAGCCAGGGTCTCCTCTGCTCAGGCTGCGTGCCTTTGTCTTTTCTGAAGCAGGCATGAGGCAGTGCCTTCAGCCAGTAACTGGTATGTCCCATTGATGCAGAATTTCAGGGGGGGGGGGATCGGGGCTGGGACAGCCATGTCAAAGAATGGAACATGACAGAGGCTACGGGAGCTCAAAAAACGGAAGTGTGCCTGGGGCTGCTGGAGCTTCAGCACACTCCCCTCAACTCCAGGGCCTCTAGGGACACCAGTGCTGGGCTCAGCACCCTGCCCAACCCAGTCATTTATGTCCGCCAGGTGCCCTTCGGCAGGTGGGTGTGACAGCACTGTCCAGGCATCCTGGGGCTTTCTGGCCTATAGTCATCTTTCTGGCTGGGAGGGCTGAGGGGGGACCAGCCATCAGCCACCTGATGGACACGGCACAACCATCGGTCTTGGATTGGTGTGACTCATCCTGCATCATGCATGTCTATATACCTAAGTCTCTATAGACATAAAATTTTTAATAAATTTAATCAGATGATTCACACAGTTTTTCAGTTTATTTTTGTTTCCTCTTAAAATGTGTTGAGAATCTTTTCATATTGGCATACATAGTTCTTTTCCATTCTTTTTATTTGATGCATAATATTCCATATTACGAAGGGAGTGATCCTTTTCTTAAAACTATTTTTAGGATAATTAAATTATTTTCCATTGTGTGCTAATTACAAAGAGCACTTCAGTGAACATTCTTGGACCATTCCTCTTTACACTCATATGTCAATATTTCTTAGGTGAACATGTGGAATGGAATTGCTGGCTGGAAAGGGCCAGAAGGCTCTCTACACTTCTAACTTTAATAAACACTGTCAGATTGTTCTTCAAAAATTCTGCCTCAGTTTATGCTCTCAGAATACCCATGTGTATACCTGTTCTCCTGTGTAGTATCCACACATATTGTAGAGATATTATTGATTTTTAATATTTTTGCTTGTATGGGGGGTTGAAAGATGCTACACTTCTAGTTTGCATTTTGTTGATGACTAGTGGGGTTGAACCTCTTTTTATCATATGTATAGGAGTCTGTTTTATAGTCTGGATACTAAGCGTTTGCCTATTCTATATCTGCACATATTTTTTCCTAGACCTGCACTGTCTAGCATGTGGCCTAGCCACATAGGACTCTTCTACTTTAAGTTTAGGTTTAAATTAAAGTACAGCCAGGCAAGGTGGCTCATGCCTGTTATCCCAGCACTTTGGGAGGCTGAGGTGGGAGGATCACCTGAGGTCAGGAGTTCGAGACCAGCCTGGCCAACATGGTGAAACCTCATCTCTACTAAAAATACAAAATTAGCTGGGCGTGGAGGCAGGTGCCTATAATTCCAGCTACTCGTGAGGCCGAGGCAGGAGAATTACTTGAACCCCGGAGACAGAGGCTGCAGTGAGCTGAGATGGTGCCACTGTATTCCAGCCTGGGTGACTGAGAGAGACTCTGTCTCAAAAATAAATTAAAAAAAATTAATTTCTTAAATACAATTAAAAATGTCATTTCTTAATTGTACTAGTCATATTTCAAGTGTTCAGTAACCGTAGGTGGCTCAAGAGCTCAGATTAAACCGTTGTCCACTATTGCAGAAAGTTCTATGGGAAAATGCTGCTCTAAATTCACTCTAAATCTCCCCTCCCCTCCCCTCCCCTCCCTTCCCCTCCCCTGCCCTCCCCTCCCCTCCTCTTCTCTCCTCTCCCCTCCCCTTCTTTTCTTGTTTTTGCTTTTGTTGCCCAGGCTGGATATTAGTGGTGTGATGTTGGCTCACTACAACCTCTGCCACCCTAGTTCAAGTGATTTTCCTACCTCAGCCTCCTGAATAGCTGGGATTGCAGGCATGCGCCACCATGCCTGGCTAATTCTTTTGTATTTTTAGTAGAGACAGGGTTTCACCATGTTGGCCAGGCTGGTCTTGAACTCCTGACCTCAGGTGATCCTCCCGCTTTGGCCTCTCAAAGTGTTGGGATTACTGGCGTGAGCCACTGCACCTGGCCTAAATTCCCATTTCTGTTGGACTTATGTTTTTAGTATCTTTTGTCATACAGATGTTTTAAATTTAGTTTTTATCTTTTGTTTCTTATTTAAGAGGGCTTTTAATTACCTCTAGATTCTAAGCAAATTCTCTTAATTCTTCTAATACTTCCATTTTCTTTTTTAAAACTGGTGCTTAAGTCCATGTGGAACAGATTTTTATAAACAGTCTGCACTAGGAATCTAACTTAAATATTTTCCCCAAAGAGAGAGTTGGTTCTAAGTTGATGAATAGCCTTTTTCCATTGGCTTGAAATGTCTCTTGCATCATGTTTCAAATGATTCTGTTCCATTGGCCTATCTGTCCATTATGTGTACTCTACATTATTGTAATAATTGTATTTAGCTTTTTTACTTTTATTTATGTATTTATCTATTTTGTGAAAGGGAATCTGACTTGTAGCCTTATGTCACCAGGCCCACCATGGAACAGCCATGCCAATAACAATAACAACTGTGTCAGTCAAGAGTTGGGTTTTATTTTCTTTTTTTCCCCAAATGGATCTCTCTCTCTCTCTCTCTCCCTCTCCCTCTCTCTCTCTCTCTCTCTCTCTCTCTCTCTCTCTCCACAGCCACACTCTCTAACCTAGCCTAGAATGTAGTGGGCTTAAGCAATCCTCCCACCTCAGCCTCAGCCTCCAGAGTAGCTGGGACTGCAGGTGTGCACCACCACACCCAGCTAATTAAAAAAATTTTTTTATACAGACAGGGTGTTGATCTTCTTGCTTAGGCTGGTCTTCAACTCCTGGGCAAACGGTCCTCCTACCTTAGGCTCCCAAAGTGCTGGGATTACTTTATATTTTACAGCAGTTTTAGGTTTACAGAAAAATTGTGAAGAAAGCAGAGTTCCCCTATACCTCAGCTCCAGTTTCTTTTATTATTAACATTTTGCATTCATGTGGTACATTTGTTATAATTGATGAACCAATATAGATACATTTTTATTACCTAAAGTCTATAATTGACATTAGGGTTCTCTCTTGGTCTTGTACCTTATCTGGGTTTTGACAAAGTCATAATGTCCGGTATCACTATTACAGTATCATACAGAATATTTCACTGCCCCCCAAATCCCTGTGCTTCACCTATTTATCTCCCCCTACCCCCCAACTCCTGGCAACCACCTTCAGTTATCTCTGTAGTTTTGCCCTTTTCAGAATGTCATATAGTTGGATACATACGGTGTGTAGCCTTTTACGTTGGTTATCTTTCACCCAGAAGTTTGCATGTGAGGTACTTCCATGGCTTTTTGTGACTTCATAGCTTATTTCTTTTTATGACTGACTAATATTCCATCATGCAGAGTTGGTTATCCATTCACCCACTGAAGGACATCTTGTTTGCTGCCAAGTTCTGGCAGTTGGGAATAAAGCTATAAGAATCCATGTGTGGTTTTTTTGTGATAAAGGTTTTCAACTCTTTTGGGTAAATACCTAGTCGAGTGACTGCTGGATTGGATGGCAAGCCTGTATTTAGCTTTGTAAGAAACTGCTGAACCGCCTTCCAGAGGTGGTGGCACCACTTCGCATTTCCACCAGCAAGGCAAGAGCCCCATTGCTGCTCAGCCTCACTGTGTGCACATGCCAGCCGTCTGGATTCTAGCCACTCACTCTTTTTTTTTTTTTTTTTTTTTTTGAGACAGAGTTTTGCTCTTGTTGCCTAGTCTAGAGTGCAATGCTGTGATCTTGGCTTGCTGCAACCTACCCCTCCTGGGTTTAAGCGATTCTTCTGCCTCAGCCTTCCAGTAGCTGGGATTACAGGTGCCTGCCACCATGCCTAGCTAATTTTTTGTATTTTTAGTAGAGACGGGGTTTCACCCTGTTGGCCCTGCTGGTTTCGTACTCCTGACCTCAGTTGATCCACCCGCCTTGGCCTCCCAAAGTGCTGAGATTACAGGCGTGAGCCACCACTCCCAGCCGATTCTAGCCATTCATATGTGTACAGTGGTAGCATTTTTGCTTTTAATGTCATATAAGCCAAATTCTTCTTTGTTCATTTTTAGGATTTTTCTGGGCAATTTGTATACATGATACATTTTAAAATTTACTTAAATCGGATGACACAATTTCAACGTTATTTCAGAGTGAAGAACATCTTTGGCTCCTCATCTAAGAATGTGGTGCATTGGTCCTTTTATTTAGTTTTATCTCTTTAGTAAGGTTTAATAGTTTTCTTTATATAAGTTTTGCATGTTTATTAGGTATATTCCTAGTTACTTGTATTGCTGTCTTTTAAAATATCATTTTTGTATGTTTTTGTACTAGGCAATGTTGCTGAGCTCTTCTTTATATTTATCAGTGGATTACCTTGCACATTCCAGGTGGTTAATAATCATAAGCAAACGGCAGCTTCCTCTCCTTTCCAATGTTCATGCGTGTCTCTTTGTTTTCCCCTATGTCTTGGCTAGTTCGTCAAGGACAGCTGACTGATTTTAGGGATGGTGAGCATCGCATTTTGTTGCTAACTGTAATGGGCTTCTAATCTTTTGCTTTGGTTATAATGTTTGCTGTAATTTCTAGAGTACATTCTTTGTGCACTTCGTTTCTCTTTTCTTAGTTTGCTAGGAGATTTCTTCTCTCTCCCCCTCCCTCCCTTCCTTCTTCCTCCTTCCCTACCTTCTCCTTCCTTTGATCCCTCCATCCAGAAATAATATTGAATTTTATCATATGACTTTTTTACATCTATTGTGAGTTTTTTCACTATTAATGAGGTAATGTTATAAATTGTATTGGGCCATCTTTGCTTTCCTGGGGAAAATCTCAGCAAGGTTAGGGTGTGTTATTGTTTTAATACTACTGAACTTGCTTTGTGTTTGTGTCTGTGTTCAAAAAACAATAAACCTTTTGCCCACCTCCATTCTTGTTTTGATGCTGGAGTTATGCCAACCTTGTAGACTTCTCTTTCCCTTTGCTCCTATTCAGGGCAATTGTTTATATAAGGCAGAAATAGTCCTTCCCTTGAGGTTTTAGCGGCACCTGTTTGTACAGTTATATGGCCTGTCACTCATTTTTGAGGTAGACCGAGATGTTCTTCTCATTTCTTTTAGTTGTTTATGTAGTCAGATTTTCTACCTATTCTTGGGACAGTTTTAATTTACATTTTCATGTAAAATTTTCTATTTTATATAGGTTTTCAAATTTATGTATATAAAGTCCATATACAGTATTTGGGGATTTTCAGAATCCTTTTTGCAGCTACATGTCCCTTATCTATAATCTGTTTGTATCTTTATTAGTACCCTTCTTCTTCCTTTGGGTTTATTTTGTTGTCTTTGTAATGTTGACATCTGTTTAAAGATTTTTCTCTTTTCTTTGTTCACAGCTGTTTTATTCTACCTACTTTTTATTGCATGTAAACGTTTTTGGAAAGGTGCATAGATCACAGGCTCTATAAATTCTTATAAAGCAAACATTCCCCTGTAACCAGCACCCACATCAATGGAAAACATGACCAGAACCTCGGACCCCATGCTGCCTTCCACCCACAGTGCCCTCTGTAATAGGGCCATTATCCTGACATCTAACTCATGGGTTCGTTTTGCCAGCTTCTCCTCTTCACATAAATGGAATCACACAGTATGCATTCTTTAGTGTCTGTGGCAGATGGTTTCTATTATGGCTTCTATTCTGTGAGCTGGGAAAACAAAGTGCCTCTGTAGACTTGTGTATGGCACAAGGTGTGGGCTGGGAGCAGTAGGTGTGGGATGCTCATGAGTAAAGTGGGTTAGGTGAGGCAACACCTCTTTTGGGTGCTGTAGCCTTTCCGGCCTACTTTCTTGTCCTTGGTTTTGTTGAAGGAAGCCAAGTTGCCAAACAGCCAAGATCCCAGCAGGTGAAGCGTTCTGCCACGATGGCTTCTGCCTTGGAGCAGGGGACCCGCCAGTATGGACTGTGCTGCAGTGACCCAGGGTTTGGTCTCTCTGACCACTGAGGGAGTGGGCATGCCTTTACTTAGAAAGCACGTCGATCCTCTTAGAAAAAGAATGGTATATTTTGCAGCTTGGCCACTTTCTCCCTGTCCACTGGGCCAGCAAATTTCACTGGATTGGTTTCTTTAACCTTCCCTGCATCTCCTGGGCCTCAGGGTGGAGAAGGCAGAGCAGCCTGTGCCTTGGGGATCCTGTGGCCTCGGCAGCCAAGTGATTCACTTATGGTTTCTTTCTTGTATTTTTCTCCTTCACTTCTTCCCATATCTTAACCTGCCCTTGTCCTTTCTGCCTGCTCTACCCTTTTTTCTTCTCTTGACCCTGTTTTCTTCTGTTCGTTTAAAAATCTTTTCCTTCTGCCTTTTGTCGTGCCCGCTTTTCATCCCTTCTCTGCCCTCCTGCACCCCTTCCCTCTTTCTCTTGCTCCTTCTCTCCATCCGACAAGCGCGCGGAGCAGTGGTGACCTCTCTCCCGCTTGCCTCTGGCAGGAGCCGGGCTGGTGATGAAGGTCAAGCAGGAGAAGCCGGAGCGGCTGCTGCAGACGCTGGTGCCGCAGGCCATGCTTGCGGAGAAGGACAAGGAGAACATCTTCCAGCAGCACCCGGGCCTCCCTCCACGCCAGACCTTGGGGTGGTCTCGAGCCCTAGGGGCACAGGAGGAGTCTGGGAGTCCCAGGTGGGCCCCTCCCGCTGAGCAGGATGCGGGGCTGGCAGGCCGGGCTCCCGGGGCAGCCTCTGGCCCCCTGAGCCCGGCGCTTTCCGCCAGTGAGGGTCATTTCGTGTGCCTAGACTGCGGGAAGAGGTTCAGCTGGTGGTCGTCCCTGAAGATCCACCAGCGCACCCACACCGGGGAGAAGCCGTACCTCTGTGGCAAGTGCGGCAAGAGCTTCAGCCAGAAGCCAAACCTGGCGCGCCACCAGCGGCACCACACGGGCGAGCGGCCCTTCTGCTGCCCCGAGTGCGCGCGGCGCTTCAGCCAGAAGCAGCACCTGCTCAAGCACCAGAAGACCCACTCTCGGCCGGCCACCCACTCCTGCCCCGAGTGCGAGCGCTGCTTCCGCCACCAGGTGGGCCTCCGCATCCACCAGCGCGCGCACGCCCGGGACCGCCAGGGTGCCAGCGCCGGCCTGCACGAGCTGCTCCGGGATGCGGCGTCGCGCCGGGCCTGTCGCCTGCGGCCTGGGCCGCCGCGGGGGCGCCCCGAGTGGGCCTGGCTAGGACTCTGCCAGGGCTGGTGGGGCCAGCCCGGGGCCCGGACCGCCGTCTCCCGCCCCTCGGGGCCGGGCGAGCCGCGCCAGTTCATCTGCAACGAGTGTGGCAAGAGCTTCACCTGGTGGTCGTCGCTGAACATCCACCAGCGCATCCACACGGGGGAGCGGCCTTATGCGTGCCCAGAGTGCGGCCGCTGCTTCAGCCAGAAGCCCAACCTGACGCGGCACCTGCGCAACCACACGGGCGAGCGCCCGCACCCCTGCCCGCACTGCGGCCGCGGCTTCCGCCAGAAGCAGCACCTGCTCAAGCACCTGCGCACGCACCTGCCGGGCGCCCAGGCAGCGCCCTGCCCCAGCTGCGGTAAGAGCTGCCGCAGCCGCGCCGCGCTGCGCGCCCACCAGCGCGCCCATGCCGCTGCCCAGCCCGCCGTCCCAGCCGGCGAATCGGGCGACCAGCCTCAAGCCGAGGTCATCCCGGGCTTGGCCGCGCGGCCACGGAGCCCCCAACGGCCCCCGGGGGCCCGGGACGCACTGTGGGGCCGGGGACGTGCAGGCCTGGCCGGGCCTGGCGAGCCGCGCCAGTTCATCTGCAACGAGTGCGGCAAGAGCTTCTCGTGGTGGTCGGCGCTCACCATCCACCAGCGCATCCACACAGGCGAGCGGCCCTACCCGTGCCCCGAGTGCGGCCGCCGCTTCAGCCAGAAGCCCAACCTGACGCGGCACCGGCGTAACCACACGGGCGAGCGGCCCTATCTGTGTCCCGCCTGCGGCCGCGGCTTCAGCCAGAAGCAGCACCTGGTCAAGCACCAGCGCGTGCACCGCGCGGCCCCTGCGCCCAGCGCCAAGGAAGAGGCACGCTAGTGGGCGGGAGCCCCGCGGACCCGTGGTTGTGGTGATGGCGGGGGATGCCACAGCGGGACTAGAGAATTCCTCAAAGCTCTCAAAACCTGAGAACAGTTCCAGAAGCATCCCAAAGGGTGCCGGGAAAGGTCCCAGCGTGGGTTGAAGGAGGAGGGAAGATCCGAGTTTCCCACCGCAGGCCTGGATGTGACCACCCTCTTCAGAGGTTGGACCTCAGGCTTCAAGCACCGAGTGAGGGGTCTGTTGGGGACACTGGGAGAGGATCCTGGTGTGAAGTGGCCTGGGTCTGGACTGGTCAGCTGTGGCACCACCCCACCCAGGCTGCAGGATGGCCGGGGGTTGCCCCTGTGGGAGAATCGCCACAGACTAGGTGATACCAAGGATGGAAGCCAGAGGTCGTGGCAAGGGAAAGCCAAGCATATTCCCAGCACCAGGGCCAGTGCTGGCACGTCGTAGGCATCCAATAAATATTTTTGGAAGGAGTGAGTGGTTTGGTGTCTTTCTCACTGGTATGTTTGTAATGGTCAGACGGGCACGAGCAGGGTGGGCTCCACTGAGGCTTGGCTGCCTGAGGAGGTAGCTGTGCAGGAGAGAGCCAAGCACACTGCACCTACTCCTGTCTGGGGCATGTCTGAAGTGGGCTGGCTGACTTGACTGTCTTGGATCCTTATCAGTCTGGCGTTGTAGAAGAGAACATGGACGGAATATTCCGTATGGTCTCACTGTCCTTTCCGAACCACCTTCGCTGAAGCCTGGGTCTGTGTGTGCTCAGAGATCCATTTGCCCCAGGCTAGGAGCACACACTCCCCATGCCCAGTTCTTGCTGGGGGTGTTTTCTCTCTTTCCCTCTCCTTCAAGTCAATTTAGTGTCTCTTCCCACATATGCTCCTCAGCCTCCTGCCCCCAAGAGGGCACCTGCCATGCCCTTCCAAAGTGGGGTTGGCTGCGTCCCTGGTGCTGAAGAACCCAGGGCTCCAGGCTAGGCTGTGACCTCAATGATATCTTCCCCGAGGAGAGGAGGGAACTGGAGAGGGTGGAGAGATGGGTGTTGGGGTGCCAGGGTTGGGTAGCTGGGAGGTAGGAGGAAGAAAGGACCCCAACGTGGCTCTGAAGAAGGAAGACATGTTCTTGCCCACTTCTCCCAGGCCCAGATCCTTCTCTATATGCAGAGAAGTGTTACCTTCTGGGAGCTTTTGCGGTTCAGCCTGGCTTCTGGTCACTGTTCTTTAATCCTCTGTGTCTGGAAAAAGCTCCAGTTGTAGATCTGCAGAAGGACATCTGAAGGTGATGGGTGGACAAGGAGGACCACCCTGACTGATACAGCTAACCCGGGTAACAGTGCTGATGATGGTTAGCACTCAGCGGGGCTGCTGTGTCCTGGTCCAGTTCTTTGATTACAAACCATGCAGTGTGCAATCACATGGGGTGATGTGAGCCAGGGTTACTACCACCTACTTGAGCATTCAGTGCTCAGGACCACAGGAAACCAAACCAGAAGGGTTTTCCTGGGCACTCTCCACCGGACACCAGCCCTAGGTGCTCCCCGGACTCCTGCCACTCTCCTGGAACTGCTGTTCCACCCCGCACTGCCCCAGGGAGTGCCGAGTGCCTTTGCCACGTTCTGAAATCAAGTTGAGCAAGCCCAACCACTTTAGGCCTCACTGCGTCTCATCTTTCATTCCTGGGTTAGAGAGACACCGCCTGCAAGGACAGATCTGTGGAAACACTGAGTCCTGTGATTCAGGTGCCTGAGGGTGCAGGGCTGGCAGATGCTGACGAGATCAGTCCTGCAGGAGCATCTTTACAACAGAATGTGTTATTTTCCGTAAGTGGCCTGTTTCACGATCAAATCAGTCAAATAGCTGTGCTGGTAGGACTTGGGGTTAAAAAATGAGGCCTAATTGCAGCTTTTTTCTCCAGCATCAATTCATGAGAATCTGCTCACTGAGACTCCCACACATGGGTGCTTTGGGTCACCAAGGGAACACGGTCAAATCCCTCAGAGCAAAGAATGTATGACCCACTGACCAGGTCGGGTCTGCCTGGCATTGATTCACTACAAGCCTGCTGTGGGCCAGGCATCATGCTGGGATGCTGCCCAAGACAACCCCTACTTTTGAGAAGCTCAAGGACTTTCATGGAAAATCATTTTGATGCACATATAGATGGGCTTGGGACCATCTATATGTTCAACTCTTTAAAAAAATGGTTCCCATCTCCAGCTCTCTTAGCAAGGCTTTCTAATTCATTATCTCATTTAATCTCACCATGAGTCAGGCAGGGCAGTAACACATGGGAAAGGAGGGTGGGAGTGGGGATAGTGTGACTTGTCCACGAGGTCCTGTTTCAAATTGACAGCAGATCTCAGGCCTCCTGTTAGCCCAAGCTGCTTCTACGGTCACATCGCAGCCTTCTGCAAGGATGGGGTGGCACTGTCAACCTGTTTTCATTTTCTTTCATTTAAAAATGATAAACCTGGGTCAGAGAATGTTTAGGAAGAGACACTGTCATTAAGTCCAAGACAAGACAGTCAGATTTGTTATCCTAGTGGTTTATAATCCAAAATACTCTGGAGCATGTAAAGGGAACAGAAAACAGCCATAAGTAAATCGAGACTTTAAAGATTTCTATGGGGTCTATGGCCAGGTAAGTGCAGACCTTTGAATCCTGTCCAAGGCCTGGTAAGTGCAGCTCTGCAGTGGGGCTCTGTGGCCACGTGGCCACAGATGTGGAAACATCCCGCAGACGCAGCCATGCTGCCTCGTTCGGGCGGTGCAGTGGCTGGCATGTGGAGCCAGGTGAGCTTGGTGGTGTTGGGGCTTCTGGAACTGCCTGCATCATCCTTGTATTTTTTTGTTAGGAGCAAGGCTGGAGCTAAGAAAAATGGTATAGCTTCTTGAAAAATGGTTGTTTTTTGGCAAGGGATAGGAGCTTCAAGTCTTTCGGTAAGGCTGTCAGCCTCATTAATATCCTATTTTATAGATGGGAAAATAAAATGGAAACAGACTGGCTTCCTCCAACACCCACAGCTTTAAGTAGCAAACTCATTGGGAGGGTTTGGTGTCCCACTGCCCAGCCCCAGGAGAGCTGCCTGCGGAGGGTAGACTGCAGTGACCAGAAGCTGCCACTCAGCGCCCCCACGACAGCACAGGCCGAGGGAGAGGGCAGCCCCTCGGCGACTTGGCAGAGAGAAACTGGCGGGAGTGGGGGATGCCCCTGAAACCTTTTGTTATTATTTTAAATGGTTTGAATTTGGTAAAGAAACATCTTTGACCTTTTGGCAAGAGGAGGAATGTTGGGGTCAAAAATAGTGTGTTCTAGTCTTCCTGGCTCATGGCAGGGGCACTGAGAGAGGGAAATGAATGAACTCCCTTAGGTTATCCCTTAGGCTAAAAAGAAAACAGCCTCTCTTGGGTTGCTTGGGTTTGAAGGAGGTGTCCTAGACAGGCTGTTTGACAGAGAACATTTCCTGATGATGACAGCACTCTATATCTGTGCTGTCCATTCCATAGCCATTAGCCACATGTGGCTATTGAGTATTTAAATGTGGCTGGTGCAGCTGAGGAACTGAACGTTATTCAATTTTAATTAAATAGCCTCACAGGGCTACTGAACAGCACAGCACCGGGCGTGATAGGATGATGCTGCTATTGATAAGAAGCTAGAAACATTGTTTCTTTTCCCTTCACTCTTGTCCCTCTGCTCACCATCCCCACAAGAGCCAGATAGTTCTGGGGTTCAATTCTGGCTTTGTCATTTACACCACAGGTCCTTGGGCAAGTAACTTATGTAAAGCATATGGTATAGTGCCTGGCACGCAGCAAGCACTCAATAAATGGTAGCTACTGTTGTTTTAATAAACTTGAGTGGCTACTTGCAGAGCAATTGTGCCCATGGAAAGGGAAAGAAAGAGTTTTCTCTTGTTTAGCTTAACCCACATAAAGAATTAACCAACTCCAGTGTGAAGCAGGCCTGCTGCAAGTGTAAGGGTGTTTGGATTGATGTAGGTCAGCCCCACAGGAGGTGCCGGAGGATGCAGGGACCAGGGTCTGGAGCTGCCCTAAGGAGGCCCGGGGGTGATCTATTTGTCCTCCTGTTCAGGGTAACTACAGTGCAGGGTCTGGACAGGGTTCACCTGAGCTACTTGTCCACCCACACAGGAGCCATGGTCTGCTGTTCTTCAGGACACCTGGGTAGTGGGCAGTCCAGGCCTTTGTTAGGGTCCAGAGTCCAGCTGCCACATGGATCTGTCAGGACAGTGGTGATTCCTGTGCCAGCCACTGCGCTGCCTGTATGAGGAAGCATGCAGCATGGCTGTGTTTGCAGGTGTTTCCACACTGGCACTCTATCGTGCTCACCGCAGCACCTAAGAATGGGGTGAGGAGGGACCTTGAGGGGGACAGGGCAGGGGTGTATGTGCACGAAACTAGAGAAGTGAAGCCCAAACCACTGTGGCAGAGCAGAGAATAGCCTCTGTGAGCCCCTGGGCCTTGGCTTCCCCGCTGAGGCAGGGCAGGCTTGAGGTGGTATGCATGTGTCTGTGCGCACCCCCATCCCCTAGCTGTGTTCTTTTCCTTTCTATTTTGGTTCATCTTACCTAGAAAATGCTGCTAAAAATATGGGAAACATCCTCAGGCATATTATTGATTTTGCTTTTGAAACATGGTCTTCACCAAGTGTCCCCATTTCTCTTATCGTCTGCAGAGGAGGTGAACTCTGCGTGCCCTGGCAGATGACGGCAGGGGCTGGAGAGTGGAGGCACGGGTGGGGTGGTCATCAGTGCCTGGAGTGCTGGTCTTGATCCAGGGGAACTCAACATCTGTCCTGTGGACTCATTTCTTTGTCTTCCCAGCATTCCCTTCCTGTGGTCTCTATTTAAAAATACCAATTTTCTTGAGATGTGGAACTCCTCAAGTCCCACATCCAGCAGCGAGTGTCTCCAGGGGCAGTGAAGGGATGGGGTGGGGACTGGGGTAGGAGTGGCTTCCCCAGAGCCCATGGGCGAGCCCAGTGGGGCCTGCTGGGACAGACTGGTCCTCCGAGTGAGCTGTGAAAGCAGGCAGGCCTGGCCTCCGGGCCTGGTGTTGGGAGGAAGGGACTGATTTTACAGTGTAAGGGCTCACCGCTGGAATTCTTTAGTTCACAGGCTCCAGAAGGCACAGTGGGCACCTGCAGAGCTGCGGGGGGGACCCTCATGATAACAGGAGGCCTGAGTCTCCCAACGCCCTCCATCAGGGACAGTGCTGCCCCAACTGCCACATCCACTGTCTGCTGCAAGGATCCCTGCCCAGGCCTTGCGGAGAGAATCTCATTTCTCCACCTGGTAGCTACACAGAGGCCACAGAGAAAAAAGCCTATTTAATGTTCTTCTACCTGTTGTGACTTTTAAAATCACTTTTCCTCTCAGGCCCCCGTTTCTTTGTCTGTCAAATGTACGCCCTCAGGCACTTTCTCACTGGGGTCAGGTTTTGATTTCCTTGTTGTCACACCCTATTTATGTCTGAGGGTCTCAGTCCCAGAGTGGTGCAAGCTGGGCCACGATGCGTGTCCCCATCTGGGCTCCGCTACTTAGAGCTGTGGGTGTTGGAGGAAGCCACTCGTTTCCATTTTATTTTCCCACCTGTCAAACGGAATATTAATAATACCTGCACAAGCTAGACTGCACCTGGTTATTGCACGGTTCCCACGAGATCATACATGGAAAAGGGCTTTGTAAAAAGCAAAGTCATGTCCGAGTAGGGGGCATTATCATTAACTGGCAGCTGGAAGCTATAATTTGGCTCTGCCCTCTCATGCCAGCTGCTCCTCCAGACGTTAGAAGCTGCTCTTTTATGGGATACCTTATGTCTTGACTGTGGCCTCCGTTCTGAGGAGGTGGGATCAATCGGGGCCCGATGTCTTCTTCCTTTGCCTCTGGTCACTCGTGATATAACCCAGGCCACATAGTCAGGCGGACTCTGGGAAAACTGTTAGTGAGGGCAGCTCCCGGATTCGGCCCCTTTGACTGTTGCCTCCAGCCCTGAAACCCTCGCCCAGGGCCGCCCCGCCGCAGGCTCCTGCGCTCATCCCACGTCACCCAGGGAAAGGCCAGCGCCTCCATCCGACCTTCTTTCTGGTCGCTGTGGGCGGTTTGTGGGCCTGGCCTTGGGATTAGGGAAATAGGGATGGTGCTATAACGGCCGAATGTGGGCCTCGGGAAATCCTGAAACGGGAAATGTCTGGGTCGGCGGATCTAGGGGCTTGGGGAGGCCCGCCCGTGGGATATTCAGGACCCGGAACCAGCCCCCGCACAGTCGCCGCTCCGGCCTGGGCGGGCGCAGCGCTCGCAGCCCCTTTTTCCGCCAGCCGGGCTGCCGGCGAGTTAGACCTCCCAGCCTCACGGGGCTGCTGTGCGGCTGCGGCGACGCCGGCGACTGCGGCGCTGCGGCGGAGACGGAGGGCTGGGGAGGCGGCGCCATGTGAGTCCGCGCGGGGCCGCGCTGGGGCTGCGGCGGGAGGTTACCGTATTTACCGAGGCCGGAGGCGGACCCTCGGGGGCGGGTCACTGCGGGCGCGCTACCGTATTTGTCCGGAGCCGCGCAGGTCCTTTCCGGGAGTGCGAGCGCCACGACTTAATTACGTATTTATCCCGGATTGCTTGGTTCCGCGGGGGGCGCTGCGGCCGCGGGGGGTGGGCTGCATTCATTCCCTCTGGTAGCTGGGGCTTGCAGCCTGGCGGGGTGGGTTGCGGCAGCAGGGTGGAGGCCTACGTATTTTCGTGGGGGTGGGGTTGCGACGCAGAGTTTACCATATTTCTCTGGGGTTGCTGCGGCCGCCGAAGTTGGCAAGGTTGTGCGTAGGGTCGGGTGGGGTGAGGGTCAGCTCTTCCGAATAATGCAGCTATTTGATAAGAGCAACGTCGCGGGAGGCTTGCCGTCTTTATGGGGGCGGGGAGAAGGGGCGCGGGAGTCGCTGCGGGAGAGTTACCGTATTTGCATTGAGCAGCGCAGACCGTAGAGCAAAGAGCTGCCACCGGAGACCGGAGGAGCAGGGGCTCAGCTGGGCTGTGAGTGTGGCATGGGACGGAAGAACTTGGGGGAGAGACGAGGGGCCTCTCGGCGTACAGGCGTGGCCTCCGTCAGGGATATAGCAGGGGAGAGTGAGGAGGCTGCCCAGTGACAGGGCCAGGCTGAGATTGGCCAAGGGGACTTTGATGATCTGTCTTTGCAGATGTCAGTGCAGCTGCCTGTGGAAAGATTTGTGGGTGGGGTCTCTTGCAAGTAGGACTTGTCTCCTTCCGCAGGGTGTCAGTTCCACCCTGGCCTCGAGGGTAGGGAAGACAGAGGACGTGGCTCTGAGACCCCACTCTGCAGATAGGTTGACTGAGGCTAGAAGTGAAGAGAGGCCTTCTGGGAGGTCCAGTGGAACATCCAGCCGGCCTCCCTGATGGGGTTGGGGAGAATGGATGAAGCAGGCCTCAGGGCCCTGCAGGAGCCCAATTTTTCGGGGGGTCATGGGAGTGGTAGCAGTAGACTCCTGGCCCCCACAGGAAAAGTGGCCCTTTGGAATGCATGGCTCTGTGACCTGGGATGGTGGCAGTGGGGTGTGTGTGTGTGTGTGTGTGTGTGTATGTTTTGGGGAGTGTTTAGTTGTTGAGCAGCTAGTACATTGAAAAGAGCTTTCAACAGTGAGGGGGGAGACTTAAGGCCTAGTCCAGGCTCACCTTGCTCTGTGACCTTGGCAAGTATGTTGACCTCACTGAGCCTCAGTTTCCCCATCTTCAAGTGGGGCTCCATAACTCTGTTCTGCCCCTTTCTCGGGGCCTTTATGAGGACAATGGGAAACAATTTAAGAGGAATCTTAGGAGAACCAGCACGAAGTGAGCCGCGTTTGGGGGCTGGCTGGGCAGAGTGTGCTGCCCAGGCCTGGGCCTGGCTTTGCTGTGAGGATACCAGGAGGAATCACGCTGAGACCAGTCCCCCTGGGAGCTCACACCCTGGTTCAGTGACTTGGAAACCTTTTGAACACATGCCTCGTTTTGATAAACAAAGAGCTGCTGCCTCTAATGTTTAACTGAGGTCACTTTCAGGTTTACAGGGTTGTGTTTTTGTTTCTTGTTTGAAGCTTTGCAAAAATATCTTTAAATCACTGATAATCCCACCCTTCTCTCCAAGTTTGGGGTGCACCATCCTACCTCCCCCTGTCCTTGAGAATCTGGTTGAGGGAAAAGACATATTTAGATGAAGGTAACAAAATTCTAGGAGTCCCCGTATATTACGCATCGGCATCTATCCAGTGTCTTGTGTGGCTGGCATGGTGCTTGGTGCTGGGGTTAAAAGAAGGCAGCTCTGTCCTTAAGGTGCTGGGAGTTGGGGGACAAAGGTGACATGACTGACTCTCGTGCAGCGGGATGAGTGAGGGCCACAGGGTTGTGTCACATGGTGTAAGACTGGGGTGGAAGGGTTGGGGAAGGCTTCCAGGAGGAGGTGCCCTTGAGAAGGGCCTGGAAGGAGTATAGGCCGTGAGTAAAGGGCAGTGGAGGAAGAACACCGATTCCCAGCAGGGGAACTTGAGCTTGAACAAAACGGGGCAAAAGGTGAGGTTGTGGGAGGCGAGTGTCCCCCACCAGGCTGGGGGTTGGCTAACCCTCGGGTCCCTCAACCCCTCTCTCCGCTTCTGTCTCCCTAGGGACTGGTGATTGCAGCTGAAGTGCCCATGACTGAGCTGGCGTCCTCCGGGGGCGGGTCCCCTGCCGGGGACGGGGAGGAGGGTCTAGGGGACGAGCGAGGCCTGGTCATCCATCACCCGGCGGAGGAGCAGCCCTACAGCTGCCCGCTGTGCGGCCAGACCTTCTCGCAGCAACCCAGCCTAGTGCGGCACCAGAAGGCGCACGCCGGAGCGGGCCGCGCTGCCGCCTTCGTGTGCCCCGAGTGCGGGAAGGCCTTCAGCGTCAAGCACAACCTCGAGGTGCACCAGCGCACGCACACCGGAGAGAGGCCCTTCCCCTGCCCCGAGTGCGGCCGCTGCTTCAGCCTCAAGCAGAACCTGCTCACGCACCAGCGCATCCACAGCGGCGAGAAGCCGCACCAGTGCGCCCAGTGCGGCCGCTGCTTCCGTGAGCCGCGCTTCCTGCTCAACCACCAGCGCACCCACGCGCGCATGCCCGCGCCGCACCCACGCCGCCCCGGCGTCTTCGGGGAGCGGCGGCCCTACTTCTGCCCCCGCTGCGGCAAGAGCTTCGCGCGCGAGGGCTCGCTCAAGACCCACCAGCGCAGCCACGGCCACGGGCCGGAGGGCCAGACCGCCCACTTAGGCCGCGTGCTATGATGCGCCCAGGGCCTGCTGCCGACGGCTGCTTCCTGTCCTGCACCTGCCTCCCCGACCCCTGGAGATGGCCCTGGGCTGCAGCCCCCTCTCTGGATGGGATCCTGGCCGAGGGGCAGGGCTGGCTTGGGCTCTTGAAGGTGTGGGCCACCCCCGGGCTCCGGCCACCCCCTTGCGTTCCTCCCTTGGGACCCTCCAGCTGGCTGCACTCAGCTGCTTCGGGCTCCTGCCATGGTTCTCCTTCCCTGGCCCATCCGGCTTAGAGCAGGTGAGACCTGCGGGGCTGGCCAGAGTCCCTCTCAGGGCTGAGGGTGGTGCGGTGGGGTGGTGTTGATCCTTGAGGGCAGGTGGGGTTGTGGGGGTACCCGTCTATAGGTCTCACTGTAATGAGCTGCTTACCGGATCTTCATCCCCAGAATGTCAGAGTTGAAGGAGACTTGGAGAGGGCCACTTTCCACAATCCCCACGCCCAACCTCAGCCCCCAGGCCTCCTGGGTCCTGTACACACTCTCTGCTGTCCTGGAGTGTCATTTCACTTCATGTCTCAGTTTGCTCATCTGTAAGTGCGGATATAGATGAGGGGTGCCTCTTCGCTGGGATGTTAGGGTTGTAATTGCAGCTACTAGATGAGAGAGGATGAGGTCACTGTTACACAGAGCCTTAGTGGATTCTGCCACCCCATGTGCCACTGACTGCCCCACGCTGGGCTCTCCCAGAGACACAGATGAGGACCGCAGGCCGTGTCACCGGGTGCTCACCCTTGGTGTGTGATGTGGACGATAGTTGGGGCCAGCTTACAAAGCGCTCTGGGATGAGACCAAGGAGGGTGACTGGCTTCTCTGTGTCACCCAGGGGAGTTTGATGGCTTTGAACCAGGTCATGGGGACAAATAAAATTGTTCTGGGAAGAGCAATTGTGTAGAAGGGTGTTTTTTGCGGGGGGATCCTGATAGTTTGGTGACTGACTCCAGGTGTCCTAAGGGGAGGTTTGCCCTACAAAGACTTCATGGTCAGGGGGGCAAGAATACTGAGTTTTTTTTTTTTTTTTCTTTTTTGAGATGGAGTCTTGCTTTGTCGCCCAGGCTGGAGTGCAGTGGCACAATCTTGGCTCACTGCAACCTCCACCTCCTGGGTTCAAGCAATTCTCCTGCCTCAGCCTCCCGAGTAGCTGGGACTACAGGGGTGTGCCATCACTCCTGGCTAATTTTTGTATTTTTAGTAGAGACGGGGTTTCACCATATTGGCCAGGCTGGTGTCAAACTCCTAACCTCGTGATCCACCCACCTTGGCCTCCCAAAGTGCTGGGATTACAGGCATAAGCCACTGCACCTGGCTCGGGATACTGAGATTTTTTTTTTAGATGGGGTTTCGTTGTTGTTACCCAGGCTGGAGTGCAATGGCACGATCTTGGCTCACTGCAACCTCCGCCTCCTGAGTTCAAGCAATTCTCCTGCCTCAGCCTTCCAAGTAGCTGGGTCTACAGGCGTGCGCCACCACGCCTAGCTAATTTTTGTATTTTTAGTAGAGTCAGGGTTTCACCATGTTGACCAGGATGGTCTTGATCTCTTGACCTCGTGATCCACCCACCTTGGCCTCCCAAAGTGCTGGGATTAGGCATGAGCCACCGCGCCCGGCTGACACCGAGATTTTTAATGAGATGAGTGCTCTGATCTCAGACTTATGCTTTAGAAGGAGAACCAGAGGCATTGTGAGGGCAGACTGACGTGAGAAGAGCTAGAGCCTCGAGGTGCTTGGGTCATCTGAGCAAGAGAACATGAGGCCCCCAGCTAAGAGGCCTGGCCAAGGTCTGGCAGTGAGGAAGGGGGCGGCCAGGACTCTGCTCCAGGACCTCTGATTCCAAGCTGGTGCTCAGAGGCATGGGTCTCTTCAGCCTTTTGGCAGATAAGGAAGCAGGTTTGCCAAGCTTGCCTACACCACAGTCGGTACTCAGTGGTACAATGGGTGGAAGCCAGGGCTTTGTTTTGGATTCTGGATCCCAGGACCTTTTATTTCCACTGCTAAAACATGGGCAATGGAGCTGGGAGGATGTGGGGCCATGTGATAGGAGCTGGGGCAGGGGGTTCAGGGGTGATATGGGTGTTTGGAGGGGACATGGCATCCTTGGGAGTGGTTTGGGAGGAAGGGAGCTGGGGCTTTGGGGGACCTGCACTTCCAGAGCCTTCCCCATGTCCAGTCTGTACTGAGTGCTGGAGACTCGTCCCTCCCCACTGCTCTCCTGCCCGTCCTCAGTGCTGTGTGGCTGTGGCTCCTCAGAGGCTGTTTGTCCTCTGCCTACCACTTCCAGGTGCTGCAGACTAGCACTGATGGCAAAGATGAAGAAATTAAACAGGGGCTTGGGACACCTGGAGTCAGTCACCGAAATGCCCTGAACCCAAGGTGTCTCATCTGTAAATGGGATTAATAATCCTTGCAGTGCTTAGTAGCGGACAGAGAGTATTCATTCAAACCCTAGGACAGACTCAGGGTAGGCCAGCTGGTCACTCCCTCCTAGCCCCAGAGGGGTGGCTGGTCAGGGCCATGTGATGGCACCACACCTGATCCTGATGTCTTTGTTTCTGTGGACAGATGCAGAGTGGGAGGATCTTATGACCGATAGGTGCAGGGCCCATCTGGACATGGAGACCAGGAATGGGGTTCCACGGGGGCCTGGCTGGCACTGCACCCCGGCATGAGGACACAACCACTACGAAGACCTTCCTGGAGAGATGCGCTGTGGTGACCAGTGGAGGTGACTGGTTGGAGCCTGGAATTGGAGGCAGATCACAAGCTCTGGTGGACAAACTCCCCAGGCCTGGTGGGGGCCACAGCTGGGGCAGATCTCATCCTGGCTGCCTGGACACAGGCTACTCTCTGCCACTGGTGGTAGTTCGATGCCTGTGTGGAGAGCTGGCTTCTCTGCTCCTGCCTGGCCCACCACTTGGCTAGAGTTCAGAGACAGGAAGTGACTGGTCTAAGCTGACACAGCAAGTTCGTGGCAGACCTGGTTCTAGAGGCAAAACCTTCTGCCAGATGTAAATGAAACCTGCAGCTTCCTTTTTCTTTCTGAGCAGGGCTTCTTAGCACTCTGGGGACACGAAGCCCTTGGAAAATCTGATGAAGGTTTTGGACCTTTTCTAGGAAAACAGACAAGTCACGTAGACTCAAAAACCCTAAGCAATTTCAGGAGCCACTGGACTCCCTGAATGAAACCCACCCCTGGACTCCAGGCTAAGACCCTCAGCCCCCGGGGCTTCACCTGCTGCCTGTTCGTTACCTGTCACACATTGAGCCCTGAGTCAAGGCCACTGTACAGGTAGTGCCCCTCCCTCCCCTGGCCAAGCCTCCTTCCCTTGTTCAGGAATAAAGAATTCCAAGGAGGGGACCTTTTTAGTCAGTCCCTTCTCCTAGACCTAGCGAGCGATGCATTAGGTTTCTGGAACCTCATTTCCCTTCCATAGACGTTGGCATAGGTCCCCTCGGCTAGATTTTTTTCTCTGATTTTGTGTTTCTTGTTCTGCCTGACTAGTCACTGGCTTCCACAAAGGAGCCCTTTGCTCCTTGCTGGGCTCTGATTTCACTGTGTGGTCTCAGGGGAAGCTGGACTGCTGTGGACACCTGTGGGAGCTTGAGTTTGGTCTGAGTCTGTCCCAGGGAGAAAGAATCCTGCTTCCACCAACCAAGCCCAGTCAGCGGTGCCTCCCAACTAGCCAAGTGTTCAGCCCAGCGGGCTGGGGAGGAAGAGGATGAGGGCCTTGCTGCTGGTCGCTGTAGCTCTGGGCAGGGTGAGAGGTCAGTGGAGGAGCTTTCTGTGTGTTCTCTGAGTGTGCAGCAGTGCAGTTGAAGGGAGCAGGGCCCAGGCTGGGAGCAGGGCAAGGACTCCTCCCATCTTCACACCTGAACCAGTCAGCCTGGAATCCACGGTTCTTTTTTTTTTTTTTTTTGAGATGGAGTTATGCTCTTGTTGCCCAGGCTGGAGTGCAATGGCGCGATCTCAGCTCACCACAACCTCTGCCTCCTGGGGAACCCACAAGCTCTCACCTGCTTCCCCAAAAAAGGCGAAACTGACCAGGGCTGGGGTGGGTTTGGGTCAGGGTGGTTGGAGGGCAGCCTGTGGATTCCTGCCCTGGAGTCTTGCTGTCTTCGATGCACTTTGGGTCATATGTTCTTACCTCCTACTGCATGCCTCGCCCTGGGATAGTGCAAGGCTTAGGGGGCATCCGAAGAGGAGAAGGTACTCCCAGCCCCAGCAGCTTCCACTCTGGTTCTGATCCTTGGCCAACCTAGAGGAAACCTCCACACACCCCTTCTCTGCTAATGGTGCAGTTTGTGTCCCCCTCTGCCCGTCACTGTGCTGCGCTCGTTCCTGCCTCTGTGCCTTCCCTATATTGCTCTGACATGGCCCCTTTCCCCTCCTCTACTCCGCTAAGCCCTTCTGATCCACAGGGCCTGGCTTCCCCAAACCACCCAGCCCACATTCCTCCTTCCCTGTGGAATAGGTCCTATGTGAGCTCCCACCCCCAACTGTGTGTTGCGCCACTGGACGCTCCAGTCTCTGTGTGTGTCTTGAGTCCCCAACGAGACAGTGAGCTCCCTGAGGGCAAGGGACTGTCATTTCCTCTTGAGCCCTATCAAAGCCTAGCACATGGCTGGGCTCCTAAGTCTCAGGAAACACTTGTCAGCTGACTAGTGCCTCAAGCACTGGAGCTCGTGGGGTGGACAGTAATGGGCAGTGCGTGTGGTGAGGGGCTGTGTGAGCTCACTCAAGGGTGCCTTTCACTGGGCTGTGGGCTGGCTCCCCTGAGTCAAAAGTGGATGTCGGAGGCCTCAAGCTCTTACCTCCTTGGGGCGGTGGGAGCAGCAGGGACCCCCTGGTCTGCAGGACTGCACGGAAGTGGTTGTCCAGACTGGATGTTTCTACAGGTTGTTGACACCTGCGGGAGCTGACCGAGTTGAATAAATGTTCCCGACATCAGCTGGTGTAAGGAGTGGTCATTTGGGGCTTAGTGGGGAGCAGGGTGGTCGCCTCTATTTCTGCCTCCATCATCTCTTGAAGAATTATGCTTCAAGGTTACCTGGTGGCCAAAGAGCACAGAAGACATACATCAAAGACACAGTGATGAGCTAATGTTGACTTCCGGTCCCTGCAGTGACTGCTCTTTGCATCTGACTAACAGATATCGAGGCTGCAGTCCCTGTTGCCTGCCCAGCCCATGGTGCGGCCAGACTTGCCGAGAAGCTTTGAGAGGGTTCCCACAGCGCCCGAGCAGTGGGCCACTAAGAGTGCTGGAGTCAGAAACCGGACCCCCATGATGGTCCATCTCCAATGGGAGGTCTCGGCCAGGCACACGCCTCTCCTGAGGTTAGTCGCCCTCCCTGCTCCTCTTCCTCATGGCGTCATGTGAAGCGAACAAGTAGGTGTGTAAAGGATGCAGGTGCACAGCGCGGCGCAGAGGCTCCCCTTCCTGTCTCCCCTCAGCGAGACCTGACTGCACATTGCCTTTCACAGAGCACTCTGGACACCTGGCCCTCTGTCCTGCCCGCCACCACGTGGCTGTGAGACCCGGGTAAGGCACATCCTTCCTGTCTGTGGGAGGCCTGGCTGCAGCGCGGTGGGCTCGCCTCAGCACCGCGACCCTGTGCTGCGCCGCCTGACTCAGGCTGCTTCCATGGCCTCTGTCAGCCAGGAGGGTCCTGCATGTAAGGAGCTCAGGGACTGCGCCTTTGAAACATGGCTCCATCGGGGGTGGGCGATGCTGGGAGCAAGTCAGGCTCTGTGTTCAACTCAGATTTCAAAAAAGGAAAAGATGAGCTCGTGTAAATGAAAAGTGCAGTGACCTGACGGTCACACAGACCCGGCCAGGCTCTGGCTCATAGGGCAGGAAGAAGCCGGCAGCTCAGCCCTCTGCCTGGCAGCATGCGGTCCTTTCTTTTATGGATCTGAGACAGTGGAGGGTCCTATTCTTGTGGCCCTGAATCAGGTCAATGCCTGTTACTAGACTCATCTCAGCGGCCGGGGAGTGCAGGGTTCTGAAAGGCCTGGTCACACGCACACCCAGGGCCAAGGGGCTAAGCTGCGCCTGGAATCCACGTGTTGAGAGCGGAAAGGTTTTGTTCAGTAGAGGGAACCAGAGACAGGAAGACAGGTGGACGGACTCCAGGCAGAAGCCCCACACGCTTGCTATGGGGACCGGTGGAGGTAGTGCAGGGTGGCATTGGGCAGGGGGGGCCAGTAGCGTTGGTGTCCCCTGGGAGTTATATTAACGCACAATTGCAATTCCCACCCCAGACTCCATTCAGAAACTGCAGGAGCTCGAGATCCTAGGCAGTCTGCATCTGCTGTCAGACCTGGTCGCTTTGCCATTGCTCTCCAAGGAGGGCCTTTGACTCAGACATTCCATGGAGTCCTCCATTGCAGGGAGGACAATGAGGGGGGTTTCCTCTTAGGCAAGCTCGTGGGGTATAGAAACAAGAGGCTGCTGCCTTCCCCGGGGCCCAGATACCAGCCACTGCCACCCCTACCCTCCAGGACTGGCACACATAACAGTGGGGCCCATTCTGACCCGGCCTGCCCAGCCTGGCTGTATAGGAATTTCCTGGAGTACAGAGTGCAGGAGGGCAACACCAAGGGAAGGGCCAGCCCTGGGCACAGAAGCAGGCAGCTTGCCCAGCGTGGCTCCTCCACTCACTGTCTGGGTACCCTCCTCTGGTTCCTGTCTCCACCCTCCTTAAGACTTCCTTAACCTTTTTTGTTTTTGAGATGGAGTCTTACTCTGTCAGCCAGCCTGGAGTGCAGTGGTGCTATCTCGGCTCACTGCAACCTCTGCCTCCTGAGTGATTCTCCTACCTCAGTCTCCTGAGTAGCTGGGATTACACGTGCACGCCACCATATTTGGCTAATTTTTGTATTTTTGGTAGAGACGGAGTTTCGCCATGTTGGCCAGGCTGGTCTTGAACTCCTGACTTCAGGTGGTCCACTCACCTCAGCCTCTCAAGGTGGTGGGATTACAGGCGTGAGCCACCTCACCCAGCCCTCCTTAATGTCTGAGCCACACCTTCCCATCATGCCCACAGTGGAGACACCTGCTGCAATGCTGTCAGTGCCCCAGCCCATCCACTTTCCAGCTGTCCTGAGTGTGGGCTGCTGATGGCCCACAGCTGCCTAGCCTGGGGGTTGTCCCCTGGCAAATGACTGCCCATGCAAGGGGATCAGACTGAAGTTGCTCTCCTGGGGGGACATCACTGGCTTCTTTCTCTGCCCCGTGCTGCTTCTGGTCACTCTCCCTCTCTAGAGCCATTCCCTGACAATTCTCACCCTCCCTGCCTGAACAAGAATCCTTGTCTCAGGCTCTGCTTCTAGGATTCCCACCCTAAGGCAAGGTATTTGAAGAACAGAAGCTGAAAGCATCTTGGACACAGTAGATTGTGGTCTGTCCCTTTCTTTGTGACACTGTGTGACACTGGTTACCTGTGGGCCTTCAGTGAGCTGCTAATGAACGAATGGACTGCAGGTGACCATTTCCTTGGTGAGAGGCCAGGCCAGAGGACTTAAGTGCTGGTGGCCTTCGCCAACTGCTCTGAAGCCCCTCTCCACTGGAAACAAGGGCCAAGGGTCGAATTCACAGGTCAAGGGTTGGGTTTGGTCTGACCATGTGTCTTTGGCCAAGGTCTTTACCATCTCGAGGTTCAGTTTCTGATACATGAAATGAATGGGGTAGACTGGCTGACCGACCTCAGATTCTTCTCAGCTACTTCCTTGACTGCTTGTGTGGGCCTCTTTTGGGTGGTGACCCCCAGCTCGGCTGAGTGACCAGGCCTCACGGAGCAGGCCGGACAGGCGCCCTGGGTTGCTGCTCCTGCTCCTCTGGGCTCAACACCATTCTTGTGACTCAGGCTTTGCTCCGTGCTGGGGACCACCGTCTCTGTCTGTAGCAGATGCTTGCTGAACTGAAACTGGATTCTTTTTTTCTTTTTTTTTCTTAGAGGAAAAATTAAAAAAAGAAAGAAAAAGAATAAAAAAAAAAAAGAAAAAGAATGAAGGAAAGGAAGAAAGAGGAAGAGGAAGAGGGAGAGAGAACAGGGGTGTTGCTTTATTGCCCGGGCTAGAATGCAGTCTAAAACTGGGTATGCCTGTAATTGTGTTTAATAATAGAGACATAAAAAAAAAAAAAAAAAGAGGGAAGAAAATAATTAACAAGCAGCCAACCAATAGTTCATTTAAACCTGTAAATATGTGTGATGTAGTAGTGATAAGAGTGTATATTTTGTGTATTTAAAGTGGAGAGTTCTATGAATGTTAATTAAGTCTACTTGTTCCGGATCTGAGTTCAAGTCCTGAATATCGATGTTAACTTTCTGTCTCATTGATCTGTCTAATATTGATGTTGAAGTCTCCCACTATTATTGTGTGGGAGTCCAAGTCTCTTTTAAGTCTTATGTATCTGGGTATTTCTGTATTGGGTGCGTATATGTTTAGGATCTTTAGCTCTTCTTGTTGCATTGATCCTTTTATCTTTATGTAATATCCTTCTTTGCTTCTTTTGATCTTTGTTGCTTTGAAATCTATTTTATCAGCAAAAATTGCAACTCCTGCTTTCTATTTATTTATTTTAGCTCTCCATTTGGTTGGTAAATTTTTCTCCATCCCTTTGTTTTGAGTCTTTGTGTATCCTTGCATGTGAGATGGATCTGGATGTAGCATACCAATGGGTCTTGGCTTTTTTTGCCTGTCTGTGTCTTTGGATTGGGGGATTTAGTCGATTTAAATTTAGAATTAATAACTTTATATGTGTGTTTGATACTGTCATTTAATGTTAGCTGGCTGTTTTGCCCATTAGTTGATGCAATTTCTTAATTATGTTGATGTTCTTTATTTTTTGGTATTTTTTAGAAAGGCTGATACTGGTTGTTCCTTTCTAATTTGTAATGGTTCTTTCAGAAGCTCTTGTAAAGCAGGCCTGGTGGTGATGAAATCTCTGAGTGCTTGCTTGTTCACAAAAGATTTTATTTTTCCTTCACTTATGAAACTTAGTTTGGCTGGATGTAAAATTCTGGGTTGAAAGTTCTTTTCTTTAAGGATGTTGAATATTGGCCCCCACTCTCTTCTGTCTTGTAGGGTTTCTGCTGAGAGATCTGCTGTGAGTCTGATGGGCTTCCCTTTATGGGTAACCTGACCTTTCTCTCTGGCTGCCCTCAGTATTTTCTCTTTCATTTCAACCCTGGTGAATCTGGTGATTATGTGCCTTGAGGTTGGTCTTCTTGAGGAATATTTTTGTGGTGTTCTCTGTATTTCCTGGAGTTGAATATTGTCCTGCCGTGCTAGGTTGGGAAAGTTTTCCTGAATAATATCCTGAAGCGTATTTTCCAGCTTGGATTGATTCTCTTCGTCACATTCAGGTACACCTATCAAACGTAGATTAGGTCTTTTCACATAGTCCCATATTTCTTGGAGACTTTGCTCGTTCTTTTTTATCCTTTTTTCTCTAATCTTGTCTTTTTGTTTTATTTCATGAAGTTGGTCTTCGACCTCTGATATCTTTTCTTCTGCTTGATCAGTTTGGCTGTTAAAACTTATGCATAGTTCATGAAGTTCTCGTGTTGTATTTTTCAGCTCCATTAATTCACTTATATTCCTCTCTAAATTGTGTGTATTGTTAACATTTCGTCAAACCTTTTTTCAAAGTTCTTAGTTTCTTTACATTGGATTAGAACAAGTTCTTTTAATTCCCAGAAGTTTCTTATCATCCACTTTTTAAAGCCTGCTTCTGTTAATGGAACATAGTCTTTCTCCATCAGGCCTTGTTCTGTTGCTGATGAGGAACTGTGATCCCCTGTAGAGGGACAGGCATTCTGATTTTGGGTATTCTCAGCCTTTTTAGGCTGATTTCTTCCCTTCGTTATAAATTTATCCATCTGTGGTCTTTATAATTACCGTCTTTATAGTTGGGTTTCTGAGTGGACGTCCAACTTGTTGAT